CAGTACACCTTGCTCTAGGACTATTTCAAAGCAACACAGTTTGCAAATAATATTTTCGATCTCTCATTCCCAAAAAGCAGATATAAAAACTGATCGTTGATATTTTATTAACTGGATGTTGGTCCAATAAAAAGAAATAATTCATAATAGATCCTGAGTCTTTCTTTCTCCAGTACCAAAATAGCAACAACTCTAACCTCCAACGTAATTTTTGTCTACAAATAGCAAAGCCCACAGGGGCTTGAATGAATCTGGTCCGCAGTGATGTATTTGTGCATAGTCACGCATAACACACCCACCTTGTAATCCATTGGGCTGAGCTATATGTTTTATTTGCGAGTGCATCTGTTCTCACACTTTGGGGTACCAGGCAAATGTAAACGGCCTCAGTATGGTAGTCTGAAGTCTGTGAGTGTGTGTTTCCCCCCCAGAGTGTTCCCCAGTGTGTGTTTGTTTTTTGCCAACTGTCACATCAACAGGGAGGACCTCAGAGGGAGGTGATGGCCACAGCATGTTGTTTGTATGCAGCAACTGATTTTCAGTCGCTGCCTTTTCAGAGCTCAGCCATTCCATTCCATTCCTCCTCCCCCAGGCTTTCCGTTTTCACTGAAGAAGCATTCTATGGTCATGGAGCATTCTCCACATTGGGCTGTTTTGAGGTCCCTGCCTCTTGGTTATTTCACTCCAAAGGGAAATATGCTGATGCCTCTCTCATAGTAAATAGAAGGAACCCTGCCATCTCTGTCCATGGAGGTTCTGTTTCATAACCAAGGTTAAAGGTTATTCTCCACAAGCTTGTCTAGCCCTGTAAAACTATCAAAGCTGGCAAATCAATTTAAAATGTTAATGATGTATTCTGTAGGGAAGTACTTTTTGTTTGTCCTGCCTTAACTCAGATAGGTTTTATTGGGTGACACTCCCCAGAATCCTGGTATTATACGAGGGGGGAAATTCTACCCAATCTGTTGTTAACTGTTTCTACATCCTCATTTATTCCCCTAAGACAACCCCCAGCCTCAGGTGCTCAACGTTTTGTGGAACTGGTTATCTTGTTACAAAATCCCCAAACTATTACTGAGGAAGTTATTTCCTCATATTTAGCTTGAAGTGTGCTGCTTTTCAGTTTGACCCTTGGTAAATTGTCATATAGTGGTACCTCGGGTTACAGACGCTTCAGGTTACAGACTCCGCTAACCCAGAAATAGTACCTCGGGTTAAGAACTTTGCTTCAGGATGAGAACAGAAATTGTGGCGTGGCAGCAGCAGGAGGCCCTATTGGCTAAAGTGGTGCTTCAGGTTAAGAACAGTTTCAGGTTAAGAACGGACCTCCGGAACAAATTAAGTACTTAACCCAAGGTACCACTGTAATTTTCTTGGGCAAACTGTCACCTTTCTCTTTCCTTTAAACCAGGGTTTCCCAAACTTGGGTCTCCAGTTGCTGTAGGACTATAATTCCCATCATTCCTGACTACTGGTCCTGCTGGCTAGGGATGATGGGAGTTGTAGTCCAAAACCAGCTGGAGACCCAAGTTTGGGAAACACAATGAGCTTGTTTCTCCCCACGGCATATCAAGTCAAACTGTCACATTGCTGTATATAATGTGGGGTGGTGAGGATGTCTTCACCCAATGTGTTTTATCTGATTTGTTTACCTGCAACCCTCCCCCCCCCCCAGCTCAATGGACAGCAGCTGCCTGAAGTGTACACAACTTGGGATAACCATGGCTTGCATTTTCAAAGTAAATGGAAGCTGGCTTGAGGGAAAATACATGACACGGGAGTATTTCTCAAGAAGCTACAGAATACATATGGATTTATGACTAGCATCATGTGTGTTGGGCTTCAAACACCAGTGGTGAGAGCACATTGGAGCCTGAGTAAATGGAAATTTGTGCACAGCCTCTCTCTCAAGCTGCTGCTTAGTTTGTTCTCTCTCTCACACCCAGACCCATCAGTCAAGGAGGACTCACTTTCTCAAGCTGATGGATTTCACATTTCCAGCATGACAGATCTCCACCTTGAAGTAAACACCTCTGGCCATATTAGCCCCCTATAAAGAGTCGTCACATTACCCGAACATCTTAGATCATTCCAAGCAAATTGCCAGGGAAGGGGAGGTATGACTAGGTCAGCATTTAGAAGAGCCCCGCTGGATCAGGCCAATGGCCCATCTAGTCCAGCATCCTGTTCTCACGGTGGCTGACCAGATGCTTGTGGAAAGCCTGCAAGCAGGACATGAGGACCACAGTTTTCTGCCCACCTGCAATTTCCAGCAACTGGTATACTGAGATATGATGCATTCATAACAGGGGAGGGATAAACTAAAACACTTGAATACCACAGACATGCTTTAGGCATTCAGAGAGAGAGAGAGAGAGAGAGAGAGAGAGAGAGAGAGATGATTTTACTCAGGATGCTAATGATACAAGGAACTGCCTTATACTATGTCAGGGCAAAGTACTATCAGCAATAATTTGTAACAGCTTTCCTTGATCTCTGAAGTAAAGGTTCCCCCTGGTCCCAGGCTTTCATCCAACATATACTTGCTAACTAGATATGTGAGGGATTTTTACTTGAGGATTCATGCATGCAAAATATGTTTCATGACTCAACCGCAGCTCCCATCCTGCACTTAGTCCCTCATGACTTAAAATTTCCGACTGGTATTTTACTTCAGCTCTAGAACAGTGTTTACTCCTGTAAGCGCCCCATGTGACAGAAGAAAGGAAGGCAGATTTTCATAATTTATGGAATTAAATTATGTATTTAACCAGTGTAAACATGTTTAATTAATGTCACAAACAATTAGGGGAAGTTTGACTCTCTGCCTCATATGAAGGATATATGGTGCTGTCATGCTGAAATCAGATCAGCACTTCTAAATAATATTTATTTGCCTGGAAGGAATAAAAACCTCACAGATCTTATCTCAGATTGAACAGACTGAAAGGATAGATGAATCACCAACTATGCTGTGCTGGCAGCAAATTAAAAATTTAGTGTTCATAGTTCCTAAGTGATAGACACAAGTGCTATAGTGGAACAAGCACTCAATATCTGCGAATCTATAGTTTTGAAGAATTTATAATGATTCATTTTTAAAAAAAATAGAATGCAGCTATTTAGATATTTAGGAGTTAGCCACCCAAAGTGGCTCCTTTCTGCTGCTGCTGCTGCTGCTTCTTCTTCTTCTTCTTCTTCATTTCATTTTTATACTGCTTTATATTTTTCAGGAAAAAAATCAAAGCGCTTCACAACCTACATTAAAATATCCACTAAAACAATCCAGAATATAACCTTGCTAAAGAAAGTCAAATATAAAGTATACACCCAAAGCAACATAATTAACAGGAAACTAAAATATTAAAAGATTTCAAAACAGAACATTACAAAGGAGGTCAGCTACAGAATGCATGTTTAATGCAACAACGTTAACAAACAAAATATTAATTAACTCATGGAGATGTTAGATGTAACAAGTGCAATCTAATATAATTCTGTTACCACCCTGGTATTACTGATGAACTGCCTTGGTGATATTGTGAGCGACCCTGATATTCTTGATGCAGGGTGGTAACGAAATGCTTTAAATAATATTAACACAGGGACAGGAAATATTTGAGACTGCCAGCACTCCTATATGGTGCTTTTGTGCAGTGTTCTGCTTAGTTGATAGATAAGCTGATGAACCTATCAGTCTGTTTGTTAAGACAATGCCACTGAGTTTACTGTTTTGGCAGTGAGACATGGAAGAAGGGCTGACATCCAAGAAGAGCTGCTTGCCACACCTTCCTACAAGCTGCTGTTAAACAGGCTAATGTTCATTTTTCCAGAGCACACCCATGAATGGAGGAAGAAAACAGCTCTTTCTGAAGATTCTGAGGAAGGGAAGTGATCATGCTCAAACCAAGCAGGATTGGGTTGGCACTGGCAGGTGTTATGTGCAAAACATTCACCAGTGTAAGGTATTAGTGCATACTGGTGCAAAACGCTACAGCCAGAGCCTATTGCTGCCAACGTTCTTCCCTAAAACATTCTCACCTACCTTCCATAGCATGAGCATACATGATGTCCCAGTTTGAACTGTATCCAATGGTTGTGTGAATGGGAAGCAGCCCACACAAGTGATCTTTCTAGTTTTCTCTTGTTCTTTACAGCCCCTGACAAAATAAAAACCCTTTTCAGAGAGATGGGGAGCCCTCCTGAACAGTATATATTGTATGGTAAGACTCTCTCTCTCTCTCTCTCTCTCTCTCTCTCTCTCTCTCTCTCTGTGTGTGTGTGTGTGTGAGAGAGAGAGAGAGAGAGAGAGAGAAAGAAAGAAATGCCCCAAAATCAGGCAGAGAAATCTTCTGCAAGCTACTTACTAGCAAACAGAGATGCAGAGATATGTAATTTTGTTATTCTTACTTTAATTGTATTTTACCACTTTTAGGTTTGTGAGCCACTCACAAAATTGTTACTTGAAGGGCCTCAAAACAAAATATAATATAATAAATTCATAAATGATGCCTGTCTCTTAAGTTTTTGTTTGCTTATTTTAAATTCACAGGTTAAAGTTAAAAATGCAACAGGTCAAATGCCTACATGCAGCAATGAAGGCTAAAAAGAGTGGGGTGTTTGGGTCAGCTAGACCTCTTTGGCCAGCGTGCTCTAGAGCGTTGATTGTGGCCACAGAAGGTCCTGGTTTAGGATCCCAGCCAAATCCAACTCAGATGGAAGATAGTCTTTCCTGATCATTATCCCTTTCTGGGGAAATTCTCTCGAGGTCAAGTTGACCACAAAACAAACTGGTGTCATTACACTGCCATGATTTCCCCCACACCAATCTAACATGTGGGCATGTTTTGTTCATGACACATGCAAGTCTGGCTGAGTAGGGTTTAAGCAGCTCAGTGTTCACTCTCATGAGTTCATGCTTTCAATAGCACCCGCAAGCAGCTGGGCGACACAAAGGTGAAGCGGGCCCACTTTCCACAGTATGTTTCCATTGCATGAGTGATTTACAGGAGCCCTTCTCTAACTGGCATGCCTCATATGAGAAACAGGCTCCATAGATAAGCAAATCCAAAGGATTCTCAGTTAGTTGCTGACAAAGGAATTGCTCCTGGCATCTGCTGCGAGGTTTCATCTATTCAGCACCAGGTGGAGACAAGTGCATCAAATCAGTCTACAGTTATCATTAATGCATTCCTAGCTGCTTTCCATGAAATGCAGATTATGAAGTGCAGGCTATAGTAGTGCTAAAGAAAGCTAATCACATTAACTGGCTTAGACTGCAGAAGATATCACATCAGCCATTTCTATTACAGTATTAAGCCAATGCAGAGGTCTCTCTCCCTCTCTCTCTCTTCAGAGTCTGACACATTTGAGGCCCCAAGGGATCATATTTCCAAACCACTTTAATGTCCCATGTACAGACCTTGCAAACTGTTGAATGACAGCATGCCCATGTCAGCAGAGGGAAGATAAAAGCATCACGGGGAACCTGTTTTTTGCTTAACGCCCCCAGTTGTCAGGCAGACAATGACGACACAGGCATAGAAAAGGTAATTAGCAGGGGGAAATACAAGGCATCAAATCACTGCAAGACAGTCACAATATTGTCATACTGGAGAGGACAAGAAATACATGAAAGCTGGAAGCATCCCAAAGACCATAGCGAGAAAGAGAGAGAGAATGAGGATGAGAAACCACACAAAAATGGCAAACAGGGGCTTATGCACTTAGATAATTCAGAAGCAAGTGTGTGCGAGAGAGACACACTACACAAAGGAACACACAAACATGGTATAGGGGGCCTTACATGCCTGGATAGGTCAAAAGAAGCAAAGCTTCAGCATAGAGGCAGCATCTTGCCCCCACTTCCAGGGCGGATGGCAGAGAGCACTGCAAAATGAATTTTGACAGATTTTGATGCATTAGCTTAATGTAGTTGGTTGTTGTTGAGCTGGCAGCTCAGCAATAATTCTGCACATTGATAGACAAAATATTCATGCAGGTGCATCAAATAATGGAGAGTTACATCTTTGAACAGCTCAGTAGTCGGTGTAGCAAATGGAGTTTTCACAATAGAGAACGGTAAGCAAAGAAATGGAGCCAGTGTTATTCATAAAATGATCTGGACTCTTAAGAAAATTGTTTTGTTTGTTTTTTTAAAAAAGAAAGTTAGAGATGTTTAATTGCCTTGGCCATGCTAAAGAAGAGGAGGAGGAGGAGGAGGAGGTGTTGTTTGGACTTGATATCCCGCCTTTCACTCCCCTTAAGGAGTCTCAAAGCGGCTAACAATCTCCTTTCCCTTCCTCCCCCACAACAAACACTCTGTGAGGTGAGTGGGGCTGAGAGACTTCAGAGAAGTGTGACTAGCTCAAGGTCACCCAGCAGCTGCATGTGGAGGAGCGGGGAAGTGAACCCGGTTCACCAGATTACGAGTCCACCACTCTTAACCACTACACCACACTGGCTGTACTCTGTAACCTGGGGATCTTTATTGTAGAGCCAGTCCATCAGTACAAGATCATAGAATTGTAGACTTGGAAGGGATCCTGAGGATCATCTAGTCTACCCCCTTGCAATGGAATCTCAACTAGATCATACATGACAAATGGCCATTCAACCCTTGCTTAAAAACTTCTACCTCTCATGGAACAGCTCTTCCTGTCAGAAAGTTCTTCCTGATGTTTAGTCAGAATCTCCTTTCCTGTAACTTGAAGCCATTGGTTTGGGCCCTACCCCCGGAGCAGGAGAAAACAGGTGTGCTCCATCTTCCATGTGAGAGCCCTTTAGGTATTTGAAAGTGGCTATCATATATCTTCTCAGTCTCCTCTTTTCCAGGCCAAACAAACCCAGCTCCTTCAACCATTCATCATAAGGCTTGGTTTCCAGACCCTTTGATCATCTTGGTCACCCTCCTCTCCACACGTTCCAGCTTGTCAAGATCCTTCTTAAATTGTGGTGCCCACAACTGGACACAGTACTCCAGGTGTGTTACCAAGGCAGAATATAGTGGTACTATTACTTCCTTGGATTGGGACACTGTATGTCTGTTGATGCAGCCTCTAATAGCATTAACCTTTTTTGGGCTTTTATCACACTGTTGACTCATGTTAAGCTTGTGGTCTACTAAGACCCCTAAGTATTGTTCACATATACTACTGGCAATCCGAGTGTCCCTCATCTTATATTTGTGCAGCTGGTTCTTCCTGCCAAAGTGTAGAACCTGACAGTTGTCCCTATTAAAATTTATTTTGTTACTGTGGGCCCAGTTCTCCAAATTGTTAAGGTCATCTTGAATCCCAATTCTTTCTTCAGGAGCATTGGCTACCCCTCCCAGTTTGGTGTCATAGACAAATTTGATGAGCATCCCCTCAATTTCTTCAAGTCATTTACAAAGAAGCTGAACAACAATGGGTCAAAGACAGATCCCTGCAGCACCCCACTTGCCACTTTTTTCTGGTATGATGAACCATTAGTGAGCACTCTTTGAATGGATAATTAAACAGTCTATGAGCACAATGTGAGTGTGGGGTTGCTATGTAAAGCTTTTAAAAATATTTTCTAGAACCAGTTTTAGGAGTTCTCCATTACAAAATAGCTGTCTATAACATATATCATGCCCCAAAGCCTTTGTTCCCTTCCTGCAGTAGAGTTACATTTTTTTAAAAGGTCAGTGTTTTAAGCATCAGAGGCGTCACTTGACTGTTTTATTGCAATACCTGAGGATTCAGTAACCACAAAATGAATCAGCAGGATAAGTTCAAAAGGGTAGCACATGTGGCCATTGAAGACTTTGAGGTCTACTTCTGTGCACTGCAGATTCTAGTTGCCTAAAATGGCGCTGGTTTAATGGCTTAAGGAGATGTATTAAACAAAAAACAACTCTTACCTGATTTTCCCACTTCACCTCAGGTGCTCTTTGCCAGCAGCCTGAGACAGATCTGCTCCATTCAGTCATGAGACGGGTTCAGATGAACTATCTACAAACTGTTGTTGCCACATTTAAGAAACTCTTTTATCTAAAATGTCTAAGATCAGATTTGTAAACTCCCTTACTGGGAGTTAATTCTCATTAAACTCAGCAGGATTTACTCCTGATTAAACATGTATATGATTGGACGGTGAGTTGCGTAGAGACTAAAACGTCCATGGATGAAATGCCGCTGCAAATACATTTACTTGAATTTATACCATCTCTTTTGGATTTTTCCAGTTATAATTGGGAGGTGGGGCTTAAGTGCTGAACTTTCCTTAGCCTCAGGACCAGCAATAGAGGACCAAGTGGGGATGGATATAGCAAGAGTTCATGATGTAGCACAGGAGAGGGATGGCCCCATTAATTGGGAGCAATGCTTATGAATTATCCACCTGAAATGGGACTCTCATGAGGTGTTTATCTCCAACATTCCTCAAAATCAACAGACATAAAGACAAAATAAATGGAAGATTTTTGATACATTACAGCAACACTTTTCTCTAAGTCCCACAATAAACTCTGGGAATATCTGGATACTACTCAGCAGCCATAGAACATCGACAAAAATACATGCTGTTTGTTACATGACAGTTTCCCAAGGCTGTTTACACTGTTCAGTGCATGGTTCTTGAGCAGCCATTGCTTTCAGACAATTGCAATTGACTCAAATACCCCTGCTTGCAAATACATTTCCATGATGCTTTGCTTTATTTCAAGCATTACTTCTTTTCATTATCATGAGCCGTAAAATAAAAATATAAGGCACAATAGCTGCACTGCCAACCTAAAGAATACCTCTTTCCCATTTCCCTATAGTATTCATCTTTTTTATCACTGCGTACCTACACAAGTGGACTCTTCAGAGCATTTTCATTGTGTATGTGGATGATTATACACTTAAGACTGAAAATAAGAAGTGGTTCAGGATCTTTAAGAGCGTTTACAATGAGCTCTTTCTTCTACTATAGAAAAAATGAACCATATATACCTGGATTGGTAGTAAAGGTGGTACTCCTCCTGGACTTTTTTTTAAAGTCATGATTTAAAATCTAAGAGCAACCTAGTTGCATTTTCTCTGTGCTTTACTGTGAGGCTATATAATGGCAAGATGTAGCTAATATGTCAATAGCATTTGTAATCTGCAATGCTTGTACGGTTGGGGAAAGGTATTGTTTCCTAAACCAACCAGTATCAAGCTATCGAGAAAATTCTTCTCAGAAATTACATACACTAGAGAAGTAAAAAGGGCACACATTTGGGAAGCATCGAAAATTGTCTTATTTAACTGTTTGTCTAGATATATACAAATTGTTATTGTCACAGGTCAAGATACAGGTGCACCATGCAAATATCTTCCTATCTGCACAAGCATTTTAGAAAGCAGAAAATCCAGAGCAAAAACCTGTTTTTTTGGGGGGGGGGGTTGCATTTTGTTCCATGTGTTTGTTCATTTTAAGCTGTATTTATGTTGCAGTGCTGTGTGAATTAGTCACACTTTTGCATTCCATTGCTAGAATCTTTTGAAGAAGTGTGGTTAAGAGATATTTTAAATAAGTAAAATGAATGCCATTATATTATGGAAGATAATTTTTGTACTTATCTTCAAATACTTGAGCATGTGGAGCTAGGAAGCCTAAATGAGTTGGATTTAACAGTAGCTGAAGTAACAGCTTAGATGTATTGAGTGGGGAGGAGAAATCTGCCCTTTCCCTCCCTGAAATGATATCCATGCTTCCCTTTTGTGTCAAAAGAACAGCAACAACAATCAAGACCATGGAACAAAAGAAAAAGGTTAATCGACACAGTTGTGATCTGGATTGGGAGTGAGGAAGAAGTTGAAGAAAATTCCAGATACAGTGGTACCTCGGTTTACAAACTTAATTTGTTCCGGAAGTCCATTCTTAAACCGAGGCGCACTTTCCCTACTGAGGCCTCCCACCACTGGTGTCCTTCCACCGTTCTGATTCCGTTCGGCTTCCAGGGCAAAGTTCGCTAACCGGAACACCTACTTCCGGTTTTGCAGAGTTTGTTCACCAAATAGTTCATTAACAGAGCTGTTCGTAGACCGAGGTACCACTGTATACAGTCTGGCATTCTGTGTTAATGAAAAAAAGGAAGAAAAATAGGAAGCTGTCTTATACCAAATCAGACAACTGATCCACCTAGCTCCAGAGTTTCAGTCTTTCCCAACCCTTCTTTCTGCATGCAGAACATGTGCTCTGTCACTGAACTATAACCGTTCCTGATCATAGTTCTTAGTACAAACCTCAGCTTAGGTGTGAAAGAACTAGTAACTAGTAATACTGATATCTCACAACAGAGCCAGCCTGGTCTTCCTCCAGGATGTTCCTCCTTGTAAGTAGCTCGAACAGGCCAATTAACCTCCCTCCCTCCCTCCCACCCACCTCACCAGTTTCCTCTTTTCCTTTTTCAGCAGACATTCAACATCCCACGATTAGATGCCACTGAGCATGCTCATTCCTCACTGACCTATTTAAGCAGAGACTTCCTCTTTGAGTTGGGGTTCAACCAATACCATTGCCTTCCTCTTGTTTCTCAGTGGCCTCATTAAACATGGGTGCGAGACACTACTATTTCAACATTTGCCTAAGTGTGGCTTTGCTACTTTTGTTTAGAACTTGGAACATTCATGAGAAAAAACAAGTCAAATGCAATGCAATTGTGATGATGTTTCATAAATACTTCTATTTTAGATCTTTCTTTTTAAACAAAAAACAAAACCTTTAGATCATGACTCAAGCCTCTTCTTTCCTTTTATTATACATTTACCCAGAATAAGTTCTTTCTTGAACTCAGGTGCTTTGTTGCTGCAGCCGCCTCTTTAAATGACATCACCACAAGAGTTTCTCTCTACAAGCATGGTTAAAACAGACCATTCAGGACCTTTTCCCAATTTTAATTTCAACACTGTTTATTTCCCCGCACCCCATAAATTAGGATTCCTTTGTAAATTGTGGTCCATCATAAATATTTAGCAGCTTCAATAAAGCAAAATTTACATAATCTGACATGCTTTCTTTAGGCAGTTTGTACCTGTGCCACAAACCACTTTCACTGGTGTTTCTAAAGAGCAGTTAAGACTTCCTGCGATGCAGATACACTCATCACTATTCCATAAATCTATAGTTCTTTTGCAGTGACTAGTCTCATCAAATCCTCAGGATTCATTTTTGTAAAGCTGCCGTTGAATAGCTGATGCTCTCAACCCCCAAAGTTGATTAAGATATGTGCACAAAAAAATCTGGTGACATCATAATGTGGAAGATTTATAAAAACCGAAAATGCCCTCCCCCAATATTTAGTCAGTCTTTATATAGAGATTTATATAGATATATAGGTATGTTTGTATACATATGTGCATGATTCTTTTACGCCCTCCTCCCCCCAAGAGGTGTGAGCAGGTAATGATCAAGATTTGTGCAGATTAAGGGTCTTCATCCATCAATGGAATTTCTAGAAAATAAAAGAAAGAGTTAATTGGGTTTTAATAGTGAACTCTGTGAAGGGAGGACCTGAAATGTTATTTTGCTGTAACATGCCATTAACAGGGCCACTGTTGCTAAGAGGTTAAGGCACTTTATGCATTGAGTCAGACAACCCATTTTTTTCTTTTACTTTACTACATAGCGACCTGGTGCAATTACAAAGTATGCTAAGTGGCCGCATACAAATCAGGCTAATTGTTCAAAGCACTTTGCAGGTGGCTGTGCAGTGAAGTAGTCCTCTGATTATTCCTTCTTAGGCCAGGCTAGTTTTCAGAATGAGAATTAAATGATGTTTCAATTCCCCACCCCCATTCAGCTTGTGTGCTTGAAGCCTGGCACACATTCATGACTAATTTGGAGTCATTTAATTAGTATGTTTCATGAAGCAGTTCAATGCGCAGAGGAATAAGAGGCCATGAAACCTTCAGCAAGCCAAATTTTAAAGATGGCCAAAAATCACATTGGCTGTGGAACCTGTTCAATAATGTTGCATCCTAAGCGTGATCTTACTAGCTGGGGAAACCCAGCCAGATGGGCGAGGTATAAATAATGAAATTATTATCATTCTGATAATAATAATTATCGTTCTGATCATTACTATTATTATTTGTTCTCAGCATAAAAGATGACTTAGCGTGTGTCTTCATTAGAGTAGGTGACCATGAAAATCTGCCGCTAACACCAGTTTGCCACTGACTCTGACTTTGAGCATTACACAAACCACAGTAAACTATACATAGCTCATTGAAATACACAGCTGGATGTTGAGAAAAATCAATATTACAACAAGGTAATTGGATTGGACTTTCTGACAGAGTAACAAAAGACTAGGTAGATACTATGTTGAATTTTACTGTAATGTAGTGTGTGCGCTCATTACTATAAAAAAAAAGAAACACCAAGAAAAAAAGAACTAGGGCATAGGCTGATGAAACAGGGCATTTTGGGCTACTCTCATACTCCAGGCCCAGACTATAACTCCACATGTTTTTAAAGATGTGCCATGTACCCAAGAAAACTAGCTAAGCTGACCTCCAGCAAATGTTCAGTCGTTTGCAGTGGGGAACACGTTAACCCTCTCCTGCCATAAAGGAATTTTTAGGCACAAATCCTTGGTAGAATCTGATGCAAGGTGGTGGTGAAACTTTGAGTTGTAAAGAATTTGCTGCTGCTGTTGTTGTGGTTTTTTTTAAAAAAAAGGTCAGAAGCAAAAGAGACATAGGCTGGAACAGAAAGAAAGACCCAATATGCAGTTAGGTTCCTTCTCCAAAGCACAATCTCATGGCTTCTTCATATGGGGGAAAAAACCCTCTGACACTAAAACAAGCTCACATAATGTTCAAAAATCAAAATTACCATCTGCAATGTCAATGCTTGGGCTGGTTGATGCTACTTCCCCGGTGGTGCTATTGATAGCATCAGTTCTCTCTGAGATAGGATGTGCTCCCACTTGACACACAGAAGATGTGTACAAACTTTGAAGAAGTTCCGAAGAGCCTGAAATGCTGTCACAGGTATCAAATTCCGCTGGCAACCTGCCCAAGTCATCTGGCCCCGGATAAGCTGGAGGGTTCTGATCATCAGCCTGTAAAACATACCCCTGGCCAGCAGGGGACACACAACCAGGTGCCAAGGCATTCAATCCACTGCTCACAGCTTCATCGTAGGAAGGTAGCATCACAGGAACACCGTCCACCACCACGAAGTCAGGGCCACTGCTGCAATTCTCCTGAGCTCCTCTATATTGGAAGGAGAGAAAGAGTGTGCATGAGTGTGTGCCTGAGAGAGTGTGAATGGCAGAATATCATCTTCCAGCAACATATGAGGTTCACCACTTAGAAAGTTTTTAATAACCTGAAATTGAGGCAATGCATCATTAATATTTACTTCAAATATGCCAAGGTATCTGTTCAGACCGATAGCCATGTGCAATTTGTCACAATAAGCTAAATAGCTCCAGCAAACCAGGGAAGAGGTGGGAGAAGGAAAGCAAGCAGCTGGGTGGCAAAGATAAGGAACTCTCTTATTCCTCATTCTGCACTGTGAACGTCAGCCTACATTAAGATTCCCAGAATCACAAGTTAGGCTGGGAAATCCAAGGTTGGCAGTGAGAAAATCTCAGCTAACTTTCATGGTATACAGCATCTGTATTGTGCATTAAGGCGACGGACACATCAATTGCGAATAGCAACTTTATTTACTTTTATTAAATTTGTCAGTTGCTTTATTTTGCCCAGGGCAACCCAAAGCGACCTGCAACTAAACAAATAGACAATAAATCCCACATGAATACATTAAAACCAAGAGGAAAGAGAAATACTTTAAGAACATCCCACCCACTTCTAAAAGGTCACAGATAGTTAAAGGCCAAAGGCCTGGTCATAGATGAAGGTTTTTACCTACAGATACATAATGATGGTGCCAGGAGAATTTCCCTGGGGAGAGCATTCCACAAACAGGGAGCCACCGCTGGCAGCCACCCTAGTTTAAGATAAGAGGGTTGAAAGTACATTATTGATTTGCTTGTTCATTCAGGGCTTTTGTTTACCACCCTTGATGATACATATAAGACAGTGGTTCACAATATTTCTTAAAAAAGAATATAGTGCAGTAAAATCAAGTAAGGATTAAATACTGTACCATACTGCCAACTACTGGGAGAAGGGGAAGGAGGAGAACATAAGAGAAAAGTGTTACTAACCTTGGAAGAAAGCGTGCCTTAAATTTGGTCTGGAACATTCTGGCAAGGATAACTAACAGAAGCACCAGAAGAACACTGGTAGCAGTGAATGCCACAATCTTCCATGTTGTCAGGAGAGTTTCCTGTGTATTTGGCCAAGTTTGTTCTGTGGCACAAATGATAATGAAGAAGTGCCATGTTAGGTAATAATGGTTGAATACTTACTTTTCATTAGAGCCATAAAGAATCAGGGCCCAAATACTTTACAATCATGCAGATGACACAAAACTGGGAGGGGTAGCTAATGCCTCAGAAAACAGAATCGGGATTCAATATAACCTTAAGAGATTGGAGAACTGGGCCCAAACTAACAAAATGAATTTCAATAGTGATAAATGTCAGGTTCTACATTCACGCAGGAAGAACCAGCCCATATAAGATGGGGGACACTTGGATTGCCAGTGGAACATGTGAAAAGGATCTAGGGGTCTTAGTATACCACCAGCTTAAGATGAGTCAACAGTGTGATGCAAGAGCAAAGAAAAATGGCAATGCTAATCTGGGTTGCATCAATAGAAGTATAGTGTGCCAACCAAGGGAAGTAACAGTTGTGTTCTATTCTGCCTTGGTCAGACCACACCTGGAGTACTGTGTATATATAATATGTCCTTTAAAAATTATCTGCATATAAACGCATCAATATAACAACAACCAAAGCCCAAAAAAAATGTTACATTGGTAAGACTGTGCACTGTTAAATAGGGGACCCCACCTTTCCACTTCTATTTGCCTGAATGTTTACTGTCTAAACCAGGGGTTGTCAACCTGGTCACTACCGCCCACTAGTGGGGGGTTCTACCGCACAAGCTGAATCCTCCTTCCATCGAGCACTGGTGGGAGGTAAGGAAATTTTACCATCAAGAAAGATACATTAGTGGGTGGTAGGTATAAAAAGGTTGACTACCCTGGTCTAAACTTTCATGTACAGGTCAGGTTCTCAAGTTGTTGTTTATTACCTGTTTTGACACAGTATACTTGATATGACGGAAACCATTCTCCATACTGGCAGGTGATATATTTGTAATCATTGGTGAGAGTGTAGCCAGGATCACAATAGAACTCAACCACAGTCCCATGGTTGTAATGCTCGCAAGGCCGCGGGTGGCAAATGTAATCTCCATGAGTCACCATAGGAGGTAGTGGACAAACTTGGACACAAAAAGAACAAACATATGTGAGGATGAGTGAGATACAACATTGCATGACCGACATCAATAAATATAAACTGAATGCAATGTTGGATGATAATCAGAATCAGAATCAGAATTTATACCCCGCCCATCTGGCTGGGTTTCCCCAGCCACTCTGGACAGCTCCCAACCGAATATTAAAAACACAGTACAGCATTAAACATTAAAAACTTCCCTAAACAGGGCTGCCTTCAGATGTCTTTTAAAAGTAAGATAATTGCTTATATCCTTGACATCTGATTGCATGCAATCTCAATACAAAAACAAGCTTGTGCACATCCCTTTATTTATGCCATTTACAAACCAATATATTAGCAAACTACAAGCCTGAGCCCTGTGCAATGGGAATTATAATTTTCATACCAGGGCAATAAAACTAACAAGACACAACCCAGCAGACTACAGAGCAATTTCTACCTCTATTCTCCCAGTCATTATAATGATTATTTTGAAATGGTTTTGTGGTATCTTGTGTTTTATTGCACCTATGTATATAGAATCATAGAATCATAGAATCATAGAGTTGGAAGAGACCACAAGGGCCATCAAGTCCAACCCCCTGCCAAGCAGGAAACACCATCAGAGCACTCCTGACATATGGTTGTCAAGCCTCTGCTTAAAGACCTCCAAAGAAGGAGACTCCACCACACTCCTTGGCAGCAAATTCCACTGTCGAACAGCTCTTACTGTCAGGAAGTTCTTCCTAATGTTTAGGTGGAATCTTCTTTCTTGTAGTTTGGATCCATTGCTCCGTGTCCGCTTCTCTGGAGCAGCAGAAAACAACCTTTCTCCCTCCTCTATGTGACATCCTTTTATATATTTGAACATGGCTATCATATCACCCCTTAACCTCCTCTTCTCCAGGCTAAACATGCCCAGCTCCCTTAGCCGTTCCTCATAAGGCATCGTTTCCAGGCCTTTGACCATTTTGGTTGCCCTCCTCTGGACACGTTCCAGTTTGTCGGTGTCCTTCTTGAACTGTGGTGCCCAGAACTGAACACAGTACTCCAGGTGAGGTCTGACAAGAGCAGAATACAGTGGCACTATTACTTCCCTTGATCTAGATGTTATACTCCTATTGATGCAGCCCAGAATTGCATTGGCTTTTTTAGCTACCGCGTCACACTGTTGGCTCATGTCAAGTTTGTGGTCAACCAAGACTCCTAGATCCTTTTCACATGTACTGCTCTCAAGCCAGGTGTCACCCATCTTGTATTTGTGCCTCTCATTTTTTTGCCCAAGTGCAATACTCTACATTTCTCCCTGTTAAAATTCATCTTGTTTGTTTTTGCCCAGTTCTCTAATCTGTCAAGGTCGTTTTGAAGTGTGATCCTGTCCTCTGGGGTGCTAGCCACCCTCCCAGTTTGGTGTCATCTGCAAATTTGATCAGGATGCCCTTGAGTCCATCATCCAAGTCGTTGATAAAGATGTTGAATAAGACCGGGCCCAAGACAGAACCCTGTGGCACCCCACTAGTCACTCTTCTCCAGGATGAAGAGGAACCATTGATGAGCACCCTTTGGGTTCGGTCAGTCAGCCAGTTACAAATCCACTGAGTGGTAGCATAGTCAAGACCGCATTTTACCAGCTTCTTTACAAGAATATCATGGGGCACCTTGTCAAATGCCCTGCTGAAATCAAGGTAGGCTACATCCACTGCGTTCCCTTCATCTACCAGGCTTGTAATTCTGTCAAAAAAACGAGATCAGGTTAGTCTGACATGACTTATTTTTCAGAAATCCATGCTGACTATTGGTGATCACAGCATTCCTTTCTAGGGGCTCACAGACTGTTTGCTTAATGATCTGCTCCAGAATCTTCCCTGGTATTGATGTCAGACTGACTGGGCGGTAATTATTTGGGTCCTCTCTTTTCCCCTTTTTGAAAATAGGGACAACATTTGCCCTCCTCCAGTCTGCCGGGACTTCGCCTGTTCTCCAGGAATTCTCAAAATGACTGCCAGTGGTTCTGAGATCACATCTGCCAGTTCTTTTAATACTCTTGGATGCAGTTCATCTGGCCCTGGAGACTTGAATACATCTAAACTAGCCAAGTATTCTTGTATTATCTCCTTAGTTATTCTGGGCTGTGTTTCCTTTGCTGAATCATTTGCTCCAAATTCTTCAGGTCGGGCATTGTTTTCTTTATCGGAGAAGACTGAGGCAAAGAAGGCATTGAGGAGTTCAGCCCTTTCTGTGTCCCCTGTTTGCATTTCACCATCTTCTCCTCTGAGTGACCCCACTGTTTCTTTGTTCTTCCTTTTGCTACGAACATACCCATAAAAGCCTTGTTTGTTGCTTTTAACCTCTCTAGCAAGCCTGAGTTCATTCTGTGCTTTAGCTTTTCTGACTTTGTGTCTACACGTGCTGGCTATTTGTTTGAATTCCTCTTTGGTGGTTTCCCCCTTTTCCATTTTTTGTACACATCCTTTTTTAATCTTAACTCAGTTAAAAGTTCTTTAGATAGCCACCCTGGCTTCTTTAGGCACCTTCCATGTTTCCGTCTCATTGACGTTGTGCTTTTACTATCTCCCTCTTAACAAACTCCCAGCCATCATGAACTCCCTTTCCTTTTAGTATTACTGTCCATGGGATCTCACCTAGCACTTCCCTAAGTTTTATGAAGTCGGCTTTCTTAAAGTCAAGAAATTGAGTCCTAGTATGCTTGGCTGCTCCTTTCCGCTGAATAGTAAACTTCAGAAGAGCATGATCACTTGCGCCTAATGATCCTTCCACTTCTACCCCACTAACCAGGTCATCAACATTGGTTAGGACCAGATCTAAAATGGCTGTTCCTCTTGTTGCTTCTCCCACTTTCTGGACAATGAAGTTGTCTGCAAGGCCAGTGAGGAATCTGTTTGACCTTATGCTCTTCGCTGAGTTTGACATCCAACAAATATCCGGGTAATTGAAGTCCCCATTACTACTATCTCCCTTCCTTTTGCATGCTTGGCCATCTGTTCCAGGAAGGCATCATCTATGTCCTCCGTTTGGCTTGGGGATCTATAGTAAACGCCCACAATGAGGTCACTGTTATTCTTCTCTCCCTTAATTTTGACCCAAATGCTCTCACTTTGGCTTTGAGGTTCTAAATCTTGGATCTCTTCACAGGTATACACATCCCTGACATATAACGCCACTCCTCCTCCTTTCTTGTCTGGTCTGTTTCTCTGAAATAGATTGTATCCCTCCATTATTACATTCTAATCGTGGGACTTATCCCACCAGGTTTCAGTGATGCCTATTATGTCATATTTAGTTTGCTGTACCAAGAGCTCAAGCTCATCTTGTTTATTTCCCATGCTTTGCGCATTAGTGTACAGACATTGAAGTCCATTAATCATTCCCCGTGTCTCTTATTTAAGGATTTTTCCTCCCACCACTAGGTCTGCGTGCTGTTTGCTCCATTTGGTCTATGACATTTGGATGATCATCTTCATCAATTGATAGACTCCTACCTTCAGGAGCACTGTCTCCCTCCCCACATTAGTCAGTTTAAAGCCCTCCTGATGAGGTTTCTGAGATTTTTGGCAAAACATTTCTCCCAACCGTTGTGAGGTGCAGCCCATCGCTTGCCAGAAGTCCATCTTCAAGAAACTGCAGTCCGTGATCTAAGAATCCAAACCGTTCTTGTTTACACCATTTGCGAAGCCAGCTGTTCACTTCCACTATTTTTCCCTCTCTCCCTGGGCCACGTCGTTCAACTGGGAGGACAGATGAGATGACAATTTGTGCATTTAATTGCTTCAATTTCCTGCCCAGAGCCTCGTAGTCTCTTTTGATCTTCTGGAGGCTATTGCTTGCAGTGTCATTGGTTCCCACATGAACCAAGAGGAGGGGTATTTGTCAGTGGGTTTTATGATTCCTTGCAGTCATTCAGTTACATCTTGGATCTTAGCCCCGGGGAGACAGCACACTTCCCGAGACATCTTGTCAGGCCCAGAGATCACTGCTTCTGTTCCCCTCAGTAGGGAATCCCCTATCACCACTACACGCCTCCTCTTAGGTTTGGTCGGGGTTCTTCCGTGAGCTGTCCGTTCCAAGGTCGCCTGCACATTCCCTGAGGACTGACTTTGCTGCTCGTCTTCATATACCTGATCGACTGTAATGAGGAGAGATCCTCAAATGGAGTCTGCTCTTCGTCTTCCATGCTAGGGGAGAGGACCTCAAAGCGATTGTGTATTTCTAAACAATCAGAGCGAACCCTGGGCCTCCTACTTCTTTGAGTCACGTTTCTCCATATATCTGGCTCCTGTGTTGGTGAACTAGCCTCCTTCTCAGGGGAGTCCCCTGTCTCCTCCTTGGTGGAGACGGTGTGCTCTGTTGCTTCCAAGAAGAGCTCCAGCTCTTTAATTCTTTGGAGCGTAGCTACACGTTCCTCCAGTTGCTGGACTTTGTCTTTTAAGAGGGCAATCAACATGCAATTGCTGCAGGTAAAGCTGCCTGTAACCTTTGGCAAGATGGCAAACATTGCGCAGGAACCGCAGGCGACTGCAGCTGTTCCTTCCCCCTCCATCTTGAGAACGTGTCGTTGGGGGTGGCTACAGCGGTCCTCCATCATAAAAAGCGTGAAGACAGGACAAATAACTCCCCACAAAAAAACCCTAGGTCTCCCCGACAAACGTTTGAGACTAGCTCCCCTAAATCTAAAAGATGGATCAAACTGCGCGCGCCGCTGCCCTGCAAGCTCTGATAAGCTCCTCCCACAGCTAATCACCTGCCTCAACAGAAACCCTGCCCCCTCTGACCTTTGCACAGGGAGAGCAGCTAATCAGCCACAAAGAAACACACACACACACAAGAAAACCCTTTTTGCTCCTTCTTCAACTGCTGCCCTGCAAGCTCTGGTTTGGTTTGGCACAAGCTTGAAAATTTATACGAGTGGGCAGTCTATAAATATTTTCATAAATAAGTAAGTAAATAAAATGAGGGTGTTTTTTTTAAAAAAAGAAGAGGACTACCTAGGCATTCAAAATTGAGCCTTGACCTCTCTAACGTAGTTCAGGCAACAGAGGTTTATCACCTCCAGCTCCTAAAGACTACAGAAAGCTACAAGTACACAAATAATTATTTCAGGTGGAGGAAGGGGAATAGTAGTTCAATTAGTTTATTGGTTTCGATAAATGTTTCTATCCCTACTGGAACTTGCTATTTGTCTGTGGTGCAGATATACATACACCAAACATTAAATGCTTCCTTGGAACCTCATAAAGAAAGAAAAATTCAGAAAACAGAAGCACTTCCTAATACCACCAGGAGGGGATGAATGCAGAGTGCAATCCAGCACAAGGTAGGCATATGTAAAACTCATTGAAATTGATGAAATCGATGAAGTGCACAGCAAAATACTCATCCCACTGATTTCTGATTTGTTAAGGAAACCTAACTTTCAGTGAATTGTATTATACACCTGCAACAGATGTTAAGGACTGACCAAAAGAAAAGAAACATCAACAGTTTTATATTTCACCACAATTAAATGTGAAGGGATAGCCATCAATGCATCACCATTTACACATTACTCCAATCCACTAGCATTTCATTTATTTTATGAAGGTTGTTTTACAAAGAAAAGAAGCAAGCAACAGGTGTCTAAATTGGCATTTTGGTGTGCAGAGTATTATATAAACATTCACTAACACATCAAGTAAGGCAGGTAACTGGCATTCCTATTTTACAGATACAATTATTTGAATTCATAGTATTTTTACTAAATATAGTTGTACATGCAACATTAGGAGCAGTTTTGCAGCTGTTTAGAAAGCACTGGATAATTTAGCTCCATACCATATCCACACAGACTCCAGAAACTCTCCATTTACTCATTGCTAAATAAAAGGTAACCACAACCTCTGTCTCTTAGATTAGGGCTTCCAGGCAAGAGGATAAAACTAATGGGCTGAATTCAGCCCTGGCGCCCTTCCTTTTACAATTTAAGAACCACCTGTTGCCAGTGCTGCATTAACCATTTACACAGACTCAAAAGAACCTTTTTTTTTTTTTTTTGGTCTTAGCATTATTTGTGTAATGGATCTTTAGAGACTAGAAAGCAAATCCGCTACCTCAAGCCAAAATAATTAACAGAACAACCCCCTTCAGATAAGTTCCAAAAGGACTTACTCTCAAGTAAGTGTATGATTGCACTCTTTGTGTCAGAAGCTCTGCATGCTGAATTCCTGCTACTAGCATTTTCATTTCAATAGCTGAACTTGCAGAATATTAATTTATTATTAAACAGCAGCAGGTGCCTAGTGCACTGGAGATAGATTTGGGTTACCTAAAAAGGGACAGGATCAGCTCCTTTCCAGGAAAGAGCAAATTTGTTCACTGCTTCCTTCCACAGGCTGCTGTGTTTGGATTTCATGCCGCTATTATGCAGTAAAGACCTACTGCATAGATATAAATAATGCACGCATCAATTCACAACAGTAGATTTCCCACAGAAATCACAATTCAGTAACTTCTCCCTATGCATCTACTTACATGAATAATGTATTTCAAAAGTAATTCCCTACCCCACCTACCCAAAAAAGCACAACAAGACATTAAACGAACCTTCAGAAGAGCCTGATTGTAATGTGCAACACTTTCTATTCTGCATGCCCTGGAGACATGGCTTTGTTTGCATTTTCACTAGGCAAAGCTTTATAAATTATAATATCTGGAAACTAGAGCACATAATTCACACAGAAAGCAATATTCTACATCTTTTCCAAGCTGGACTCAACCTAAGGGAATGCAAGATGATTCATTAGGAAGGTCTGAAACGCTTTCCTTGTTTAGCTTAAAACAACTGCTCTAAATGGGAAGGAACCAAGGGAAAGAAACTGCTGATAAGCTCTCTCAACGAACAAACCTCTCTGACAAGAATAATCTTAGATGATTAGGGGACACTCTATTACCTGCTGTCCCTAGCCATTTCTCTGCTTCTCTATCTAAACATCTTTGCAATAGTGTTGATTTGCAAGGGTCTGGCATAGATAACAGGCTGTCAGAGATGTGTCAATACAGAGCAGTGATCCAACGCCAAGCAACATGAAAAGATTTTCCACCAGAGAGATTAACTACTTTAAAGAAGCAAAATTTCAAGCCTGCAGCAATGCCACCTGCTGCCTCTTCTGACATTCAGAAAGGCCCTATGCATCCACCAAACTGTGAAAAAGACTCCATGAATTGAAAGTGAAGACACTAAACATACTTTTCCTTATTTTTTTGTTTTGTAACACAAGAAAATCTTTTTTTAAAAAAAAAACTTTTAAAAAACAACAACAATATTAAGGAACCAAAAACAATAGAGTGGAAGTAAAATGAATAATGCCACACAGGCGCGTTTGTCTATTAGGAATTACCATTTCCAGTTTTTTATTACAGAACAGCAGTGTGTAGGGATGAGCTCCCACAATCACCTCATAGCTGTCAACTTACAGATTTGAAAATAAGAGACCAACAGCCTCAAAAATAAGGGATCAGCAGCCAAAATAAGGGATCAACAATTACTTTGATAAAATACATATTTTGTTGCGTGCAAATGGCTTTAGATACCTATTAGGTCCATAAATTACTATAGTATATATTCAACACAAAATACAGCAACAATTTGTTGTTGACAAAGGACAGCTGGACATAGAAAGGGCCCCATTACCTTCAGTAGCTTATTTAAGGGACATCATCAATAAGGGACAGCAGCGCGACATGGCGCTGGGATAAGGGACTGTCCCGCCAAATAAGGGACGCTTGACAGCTATGAATCACCTCCCAATGAAGTCCTACTAGCATAGATCAGCTATCAAGCCAAATGTCTTCAGAAGACTACAAGAGGAGATTCAAGGCACACACTACAGTGGAAAGAACAATACTCTCTATCTGTGGTAACGAAAAGCAACAATTATGTTAGCTAGTGTGCTGTTATCTTTTGGAGAAAAAAGGATATGTGTGTATTTTGGACCTAGAATGCATTGGAAACAGACACAAATAACAATATATACATTTTAAACAGGTAAGGCAAATGCTATTTCTCTATTATTATTATTATTATTATTATTATTATTTATTATTATTTACAAAACAACAACCTCTTGCCTGCTGCTCTCCCCCCACCCTCAAGTAAGGACATGGGCCACAGATGAAAGAATAATGGAGCAGGTTTGAAAATAAGCAAGTTATCCTTGATTCAAATTGTACTTCATTCTTATTGTAGTTACACCCATGGGAATAAAGGCTTTCCATTCACTCAGTAATGAATTTTATGCTAATGCAGGCAAATTCAGTCTCTTGCTTTCCAAAAAATCTGTGTGTGCACTAAGAGACGCATTGTTATATTTAAGCTCACAAACTGAGATACTGATATTTTAATTGATAACCTGCAGGCTCGAACAGGCCTTTTCAAAAGAAGTCAAGCAAGTGAGCAATTCCATGACTAAATCTTTTAAAATCCAAGCAGGTGCTGGACATCAAACAGCCTGTAATATTCCCAATTCTCTTCCCAATACGCTGTACATCAATAATGCTAGAACACTGAGCCATCATCTGTCAAAGCCACTAAAAACATTACTGCTTCATTCAACATTATTAGCGTTAGGACCAATCTTTTGCAGACTATTAATTCAGAATAGAAAGAGCCGGTTAGGCGATGCCTTTGAGATAGTCCTGTGCATTACAAAACTTCTAGCCTAACCAAATGAAGTGGGCCCTGCTGTGCAGAGTGCTTCTGCCCAGAGCTCTAGTCAGCTATGCTTTCTTTCATAATACTTATTTCCACCCTCACTTGAGTCTTCTGATTCACTCTGACACTTTGTATTGTGTAACACTGAGCATGCTCAGTCACAAGAATGCAAGATGAGCCTACTGGATTGGGCCAATGGTCCTTCTAGACCAGCATCCTGTTGCCACAGCGGTAAGCCCTCCCATGATTCCCAGTGGAGATAGAATATAGCTGTTGATAGCTCTATCTTCCATGAGTTGGTCTGAGCCTTTTAAGCCATCTAAGTTTGTGGCCATCACTGCTTCCTTGGGGAGTGAATCCTCCATTGGGCTGAGGTTTTTTGTTGTTGTTGTTTTGCGGCGGGGGGAGGGGGGCTGCCCCCTTAGGCTGTATTCATAAGCATTTTTCAACTTCTACAAACCTAGCCCTGTTTTGGCTACATAACCTGCAAAAACCCTGAGCTCATTAGTAGCGTTTATTATTATACAGTGGTACCTCGGGTTTACCAACAAAGGTCCGTATAGTTAAAGCCATGGTTTTCCCAGTAGTGAAGTATGGAAGTGAGAGCTGGACCATAAAGAAGGCTGATCGCCGAAGAATTGATGCTTTTGAATTATGGTGTTGGAAGAGACTCTTGAGAGTCCCATGGACTGCAAGAAGATCAAACGTATCCATTCTTAAGGAAATCAGCCCTGAGTGCTCACTGCAAGGACAGATCGTGAAGCTGAGGCTCCAATACTTTGGCCACCTCATGAGAAGAGAAGACTCCCTGGAAAAGACCCTGATGCTGGGAAAGATGGAGGGCACAAGGAGAAGGGGACGACAGAGGACGAGACGGTTGGACAGTGTTCTCAAAGCTACCAGCATGAGTCTGACCAAACTGCGGGAGGCAGTGGAAGACAGGAGTGCCTGGCGTGCTCTGGTCCATGGGGTCACGAAGAGTCGGACACGACTAAACGACTAAACAACAACCACTGTACATTGAAAGCTGCTGCCTGCTAGGGCTGGTGGGAGAAATGACAGGGCAGCTTACAGCAGGTGGCGCCAGCGGTAGGCAGGACACACTGGACAGAGTAGTTTAAGTGGTGGTGAGAAAGAGATTGAAGAAGGGGAGGGAAAGAAGCAGCAGCTTTTAAGGGATGAGAAGGGGAAGGAAGTGCAATACAAAGGGCTGGGAGGTGGCAGAAATTGGCTAAAAGGTGGGGCTTGGCTAAAAGGTGGGGCTGGGGACTTTTTTGTGCTGCATTGCTAGAAAGGAAGGTGCTGTCTTGCAGTGAAACACTGAAACCAACATGATCTTGTCGTGGTTCCCCCCTGCTCCTGCTTTCAATGAATTCAGCACCACCTGCCTCTCCAAAGTGGAGTGTTGGCTATCAGTTTCACAACTAAAATGCAGCAGTGATCGGTTGAAGCATCCTGCATGAATTCTGATTTGGTCAGAGGGAGCAGTGCTTCTGAATACCAGTTGCTGGAAACCGTAGAGAAAAGAGTGCTCTTGTGCTTGGGTCCTGCTTGTGGGGCTTCCTACAGGCATCTGGTTGGCCACTGTGAGAACAGGATGGTGGACTTATCACTGGGCCACTGGCCTGACCCAGCTGGCTCCAGTGTGGTGTAGTGGTTAAGAGCGGTAGTCTCATAATCTGGGGAACCGGGTTCGCGTCTCCGCTCCTCCACATGCAGCTGCTGGGTGACCTTGGGCCAGTCACACTTCTCTGAAGTCTCTCAGCCCCACTCACCTCACAGAGTGTTTGTTGTGGGGGAGGAAGGGAAAAGGAGATTGTTAGCCGCTTTGAGACTCCTGAAGGGGAGTGAAAGGCGGGATATCAAATCCAAACTCTTCTTCTTCTTCTTCTTATTAGCCCTGGGCCACAATCAGAATAAGATAGGTGGAGATATTTTTGAAGAGCTTCCTGTGGATCTGTTGTGGGAATCTGTCTGGAAGAAGAATGCAAAGTGCAGGAAATAACTGTGTCATCCAGACTGGCTAGGTGTTTCCAGCATCAAGGAAAGAATCACAACGCTATTTTTTTCTGAAATACAGTACATCCTTCCCTTTCCCTGGAGAGTAATGGGGCAGTGCCAGGTCAAGCAACAGAGACTCCAAAGCAGAAAGACATGCAGAGAGCCAGTGTGGTGTAGTGGTTAAGAGCGGTAGTCTCGTAATTTGGGGAACTGGGTTCGCGTCTCCGCTCCTCCACATGCAGCTGCTGGGTGACCAGTCACACTTCTTTGAAGTCTCTCAGCCCCACTCACCTCACGGAGTGTTTGTTGTGGGGGAGGAAGGGAAAGGAGAATGTTAGTCGCTTTGAGACTCCTTAAAGGGAGTGAAATGCGGGATATCACATTAAAAAGAGAGAGAGAGAGAGTGATCATGACATGGAAGAAGGGGAGAGTTTAAGTTCTGGAGCAGGGGTAGGCAACCTAAGGCCCGTGGACCAGATACGGCCCAATCACCTTCTCAATCTGGCCCACGGAGGGTCCGGGAATCAGTGTGTTTTTACATGAGTAGAATGTGTGCTTTTATTTAAAATGCATCCCTGGGTTATTTGTGGGGCATAGCAATTCGTTCATTTCCCCCCCCAAAAATATAGTCCGGCCCACCATATGGTCTGAGGGATGGTGGACCGGCCCATGGCTGAAAAAGGTTGCTGACCCCTGCTCTGCAGGGAAGCGGGAGACTGATTGCTGCTGGTGAGCTAGTGCCCTCTTGTTGTACTTATGAAAAAACCACCACTGCTATTACTGTCCCACAGACTGTAGGGTACTTTCCTAATCTATTACCCATTAAAAAGGGAAGTATATTTTTTGTCTTCTTGAGAAGGTATCTAGGAGATAATGGGCCACTTTTGGTCTTCATTCTGATTTTACCAGGCATTGTGATCTAAAAGCATCTTTCCTCTGTACAAAAGAAGCAGATGGCAGCAGAAAAAGCAATTCAAGTTCGGCAAGAGATCTGCCTGCATGGGTTTAGAACCAACCAGATAATCTATTTTATTAGCGGAGGAAATGCACAGGAGCCCTTGCTCCTTAAACCTTTGTTTCCTTTCGTGAGGTTTATCATCCTTCAAAAATGTTTTAGAGCCTTTGAATAAAAAGGCATTACATTCCTCTCAAATCCAGATTAGCTGCTGTATTACAATGCACTGGAAAACTGCTGTTCAAAATACTCTGGAATTATAGAATGCTTTTCAAAATAAGTCCTGCCTAACCTATTATCTCAAACAGAGGGAATCTTTCTTCCTGACAGATGCATCCAGCAGTTTATACCGAATTTTATTCTGGTTTATCAAGTTTACAGTTCCATTCCTTTTGCCTCCAAGATTATAGTGCAAACACACTCACTATGACCAAAACCTTGTCAAATGCATTTTTCTCAATTGTTGTGATGCCATAGAATATTCATTACATATAATTGATTAAAAACAAGGTCCATTATGGGATATTACAGATTTAGAAAATGCAATGATAAAAGGACAAAGGTTAAGGTTATGGAGCAAAATGTATGGAATTATTAGTTGCTGTGATATTTCCATTAATACATATCAAAACATGGCTTCAAAACATGAACCTTGTTATTTCAAATGATGTATAGAATTGGGGCTGTGTACAAACTATATATTTAAAGCACATGACTTCCTCAAAGACTTTTGAGAACTGTAGTTTGTTAAGGGTGTTGGGAATTGTAGCTCTGAAGTGGTGGGTAAACTACAGTTCCCATGATTCATGTGCTTTGAATATATGGTGTGTACACAGCCTGGGTGCAGCAAAATGCCCCACATCAAACACTAAGTTTTGTTGATGGTGGTACTTGACACCTGTCAGACTGAATCAAATATACTCAGGAGTGGATAAGAATTGAAAATATCAAATGATGTATTTTGATCATAATCTAAAATAATGGTTTTCTGGACAAAAAGCTTTATGCAGCAGAGCTTCATAATAAAATTAAACATATATTTGTCTCTAAAATAAAAAAGATTCATTTTTTAAAATGTAAGTACTGTATATAAAGTCACAATGTGTTCTAATCAATCTTTTCTATCCTTCTAAGCAGTGTAGAATGTTATTCATGCAAGCTGTTATTCATTAAGAAATAAAGCAGAACAAATTTTTTTTAAAAAAAAATTGTACATCTCTGTATTAAAAAGTGCTACCAGAGCCATGAAATGGGAATCTAAATTTAAAATCTCAATTTATATTCCAAGCAACCTGGGTACAAGATTTGCATCTGAATACTCATTCAGGTGTGCCAAGGCAAGTTGGAACATCCTTGCATGTGAGACTGATGCTCTGAGTGGGAGAGAGATATCATTCCACAGACTGTCCTAAGAAATACAACATCCCTAATTAAATAATTAATATGACTGCATTGCCATATTTAGTTGCCTCTAGCACAAACATAATAACAGTAGCAAAATCTAAACTACTGCCATGGTCTTTTCTGTTATTTGACGAAGTACTAACCAACTGTATAGAGGTATAAGGGTGTGTACTGGCTATGCGTGAGCTGAATAAACAAGATGGATAAGCAGATTCAGTAAACTCTACCCCTCTACCAAGTCTAAATGTGATGTCAGTACCCCCTACACACAGAGAGAGAGAGAGAGAGCGAAAGAGAGAGAGACTCATTGCTATACTTATATACTGTTGTGAATTTGTGAGTGACAGACCTTGTACCCTCTGCACCCAGAAATTTCCAAAGGACATCATTTATAACTCTGAGGAAGCTCCTGGACCCCCTGGAATCTCACCCTGCTATGGAGACTGGGGTGGTATGTAACAATAATTTTCTGTGCCATATAACTTTGTTTATTTAGGTATCTATGTTTCTCTAGGTCCATGGGCTTTGTAAGCAGCAGAGCAGTCCAAAATGTTGAGGCTTTGGGAGTTAGAAGAAATGCAGATTCCTGTGTAGGCATTGAAACAACAATAATGTAATTTATCCAGTAATACCAAATAAAGTGGAACTTAATCCAATCTACTAAAAAGAAGCAAACATCCTGCAGCAAAAGATACAGTACTAAACTATTCTTTTACAGCAATGTTGTCAACATTTATTGAGAAAAATCATAGCCCTGTTGAAATATAGACTAGATGGGGCTCACTATTTCTCTCAAAGAATGGGCACGAAGGGGAAAGGACAATAGAAAGGAAAGATATCGCATCAAATTAGGGGATCTATTGCTAATGTTGACAGACAAGTTATATAAGGACAGCAGACATTTCCCCTTCAGCTTCCCATAGAGATTTCAAAGTACCAAGATTAGTCTCTCAAACCTCTGACTGGGAGAAGGCTAATCTGACTAGATTTTGTGCCTTATTTACTGCTAGCATTTGCAACATTTAATATAATTAAAAACCAGACCACACACCTAAAACCACAGAGAAAGCTGTAAAATGGGGTTGGTGCAGGGAAGCTTGAGAATAATTATTTATTCAAGTGGGTGATTATGACAGGCACTCTCCCCATCATAACCCCCAAACTGAGTGAATTCAGGCAACCACCACCTACTGTTAATTTGTATGTTCCATGGCTTGATGGCTCTCTTAACAGCTGTTTTTTAAAAAATGCTAATTATACAAATATCTGTAATGGCAGTTGGAGGTTTAAAATTGCTTTGGATTTATATATGATCACTTTTAGTTTGTTGTTTTATTTAATTGAACCAATTCTTATGTTTTCTGTTCTATGATATAAATTGCCTTCAGATCCCATAGTATAAGGCAATAAATAAAGTACAGTGGTATCTTGGGTTACATACACTTCAGGTTACAGACTCCGCTAATCCAGAAATAGTGCTTCAGGTTAAGAACTTTGCTTCAGGATGAGAACAAAAATCATGTTCCAGCGGTGCAGTGGCAGCAGGAGGCCCCATTAGCTAAAGTGGTGCTTCACGTTAAGAACAGTTTCAGGTTAAGAACGGAGCTCTGGTATGAATTAAGTACGTAACCAGAGGTTACGAAGTACCACTGTGGTAACAGCAGCAGCAGTCTGGAAAATGAAATAATCTGAGTATCATTCAAAAGTAACTATAAATGGCATAATATTGACTTTTAAATCTCTGTGTTAGCTGAGTTTGAAGCTTTGACTGACAGTATAGCTTCTAATACAGGGGTCAGCAAACTTTTTCAAGAAGGGTCAGTCCACTGTCCCTCAGACCTTATGGGGGGCGGACTATATTTTGAAAAAAGAATGAACGAATTCCTATGCCCCACAAATAACCCAGAGATACATTTTAAATAAAAGTACAAATTCTACTCATGTAAAAACACCAGGCAGGCCCCACAAATAACCCAGAGATGCATTTTAAATAAAAGGACACATTTTATTCATGTAAAAACACGCTGATTCCTAGACCGCCCGCGAGCTGGATTTAGAAGGCAATTGGACTGGATCCGGGCCCTGGGTCTTAGTTTGCCTACCCATGTTCTAATACGTACAAAACCTTTTAGTGGGAATAAAGCAAAGAAGATTTATCCACTGACCTCGTGCTCAATCAATCAATATGGTCCAAGATACAAAACAGTAATACAGCTCTCCCTCCATGACAAAAAGCAAGCATGCTTATCCTTACATAAAATGTAAGTTCAATATTAAAAGGCAGGCCTCAGGGAGTAACCAGCTCTTCTCTCTTATTGCCTAACCCTTTAGCACAATTTGATAGTCCAGGGAGGAGGGGAAATGCATTTTTCAAAAGATATTTATTGCAACACTTTGGGGAAGAAAATGCAGCTTAAAAAAAAAAAAGATGCTTAGAGATTTGATTAACTAGAAATTGTACCAAGGGGTTTCTACACAGAACACACAGGTGACACTAGGAATAAAGTAGTGATTTAGTTTGACAACCCTATTATCAAACTGGAATAGAAGCCATAAAAAGGAGACGCAGATAACAAGCCAATATTTTGTTCTCTTAGCACTGTATTGTGTGCATGGCTTCAAGCATTATAAACATTCAGCAATGGAGAGGTGGGGAGGGGGAGAACTGCTGTTAGGATATGCAACAGGAATGAGTCACTTTGCAGCCTCTGTCCCCTGCCTATACAAGCCTACAATGTCCACAGACAGGGGGAAAAATGTGTTTGCAAACTTACTACAGTATGGCATATTTCACAACACTTCTATTACTTAGCAGTAATATGCTTTCCATGATGCCATAATGGAGTGGATGGGGGGGCAACCAAATCGGGTGTTTATATGCACAGATATGACAGCCTTCAAAAATTGATAATATAATTTCATTTTATTCATGCGACACTAACTCAGTATTATTTTATTTAGGTTTATTACCAGTTGAAATGTGAAAAACTGTCTCCGAAAGAAGAAAAACACTAACCTTGCAATCATGTTATTATAGAGTAAGCAAGAATCCTACATAAACTAGGCAGATTTTGAAAATTCTTCTTATCTCCAGTGTTTTTATTCTACATACAAAATACTTTGCACTTATCTGTTAATACCGAGCATTTGTGTATGTATATACAAGCAACAAGCAGCAATACAATACAGGTGTAATTCCATAAATATTTGCACCAGTGTTAATGCACAGATCAAGATAAAAAATTGACACGGTAAAGGCCAACTAAACCAATTTTCTTGACCTTCAGCAATACCAATTATATCCAAATCATTCCTGACAGATCATCTAATTATCCTTTTTTAAAAGCCTCCAGTGCTGAAAATCTACATGTTCACATGAACATTTGTTCCTCTGCCAAACCATTCTTGATAGACAATTTTTCCTGGTTATTAAAACCTTAATTGATCCATCTTCCAACTTAAACCTGCTGCCTGTACCCTCCCTTCTCACCACTAACCACAGGAAGTAACTTTCCCCCATCTGTCCATATTTAGGAACATAACAAGGAAATAACAAACATAATTTCTGGAGCCAGGGGCTAAAGGAAAAGAACAACCCCGCCCCTCTATCACAGACACACTATTCGTTTTTAGAAGCCAAGCAGAGGCTCTGAACAAATTTCACAGGTGTGTTGTTTGTACAGCACACTAAACTGTAACTTAGTATTACGTGCACAAACAAGAATAAACTGCATGGGTATTAAGTTAGAAAGAAGTATCAATAGAGTTTTAATTTCCACACCCTGCTTGCTCAAATCTCCTTTTGGCGAAGTTTGACAATTGGGACACAGAAAATCAGTCACAGGTACTCATTTTTCTATTCGACAATGCATATGTTTAAGACAAGGTTTTTTTACTACTTGTATTATCATTATCTGTAGAACCCCAGAGTTGTTTATACTGTTTGCTTTTTGTAAACTCTCTGAAAACCAATAAAATACAGTTACAAAAGAAGAGGAAGGAAAGATGTCAGAGAATCAATGGGGGCTTCGGACTACTGAAGGGCAACAAACCAAGGAAAAGCAACACTGAAGACATATTGCCAAGATATTACATTGTAAGACTGTCATGCTCCTTCTATAGGACTGAAAGTGATACAGTTCAACACAGTGTCAGTGAACATGATCCCTCCATCTTCACACAAAAGTGAGCACATACATAGGGCAATTCTTTTCAGTTGGTTAGTTGTGCTGAACACTATCACTAATAGAAGTTCCTGCAGAAAAAGGTTTCAGAGCAAATCAATAGGTCCAAAAGCAATAATTCACCAGGATCAGATACTGTTTCATCCAGGGTTTTGAAGAAACTTAGATGTATGAAATTGTTGAATGATTGGAAGTGATATGCAATCTCCACCCCCCCCCCCATTGGCCTATGTACTGGAAGGTTAGGAAGTAGATAATGCACTACAAATTCTTGGAATAGGCTTGAGAAATGATCCTGGAAACCAGGAATATTATTTCAGATGCCATGACTGAGGAGGACATATTCTCAGCAAAGTTTAAATGGAAGCAATCTTTTTTTATACATTCACATTTAAATTTCAAAAAAAGCAGTGTATTTTAAGGGCATTTGTTTGTACCTCAGAATAAACTACATTAATGTTATTACTATTCAGGCAAGGACTCATATTTGCTGGACTTGTCAAGAAATGCCAATTGGCGGAAAGACTGAAGGATAGAGGAAAAGCAGAAACAGTCTGTTCTCATGGGCATGTTTTCAATGAGGCACTGCAAAGAATGTGAGAGGGTCATGGGCACACATTTTGATAAAAAAAACAGGTGAGAACAAATGCGGGCAGGGTGGGGGGAATAGAGACAATAAATACATTCAGGATAGTTAACCCGGGGCGGGGGTCATATTCAGAAGAATCAAGTGGTGTCCAGTCCCCTTGGAATTGTACCACTTCAGAATGAAAATACAGTGGTACCTCGGGTTAAGTACTTAATTCGTTCCAGAGGTCCGTTCTTAATCTGAAACTGTACTTAACCTGAAGCACCACTTTAGCTAATGGGGCCTCCCGCTGCTGCAAATAGAAGGCGGGGGGGTGACCTGAATTGGCACTGCAGCAGCAGTGAGAGGGTTAAGGGGCTTTTTTCCTCCCATGTCAGACTGGTCCCAGTTTTGGATCCCCCACCCCAACACCTGCAATTTACTTTTAAAAAACCTTCCACATAATAGTTAATTGTGTGAATGGAACATCTAAGTTTGGCTCTAGAGAAAGGTGAAGTGGAAAGTCATTAAATGAAGTAAAAAATATACCAGATATTATCTGACAAGTAATAAATATTTTAAAAAGATATAAGATGTTTTACCTTCCACATCAAGGCACCTAGGTGGGCTATCTGACCAGATAAGGTTATACATGCACTCAAGGAACTCTGTCCCCTCTAGTTTATATCCAGGAAAGCACTGAAAATATATCATAGTTCCTACTGGGAAGGAGGACTCGAACTCAGATATGTTAATGTAACTATGAGGAAGAACCAATGGCCTCAGGCAACCTGCAAATTAAGAAGAAGGAGGTATCTTATTATGAGAAGCTTATTTTTAAAATATCCCAATTACAGCTATCAGGCTAAAATATATATTCCCTTCTCTCCCCACAGTGAATGTTACTTCTGCTCATCTGACTCGACTCTCAGATTCACCCCGCAATGTGCCAGATCACTACTCCTAATTGTTTAGCGTACAGCTGTAGCAAATTACAATATACTGTCTGCAAAATCAGCATAGGATTAACTAAAAATGGCAGTATTTTCTCTTTTACTACATTCTGCCCCTCCCCTTCAGTTTCTAGTTTAATAATTATTCTTTTTCACATGGAATCCTTCATTTTTAGACCGATACTTATCCAAACAATTGCTTGTTCACTTCAAAGGTGTGATACTCAGCATCTTATATATATTGTAATCGGTGCATGCAGTTAAGAAAGGAATATTGGCAAGTTCCAACTAGTTGCAATGGGTCTGAACATCCACACTAAGAAGCTTCCACAGTTACCCACTAGCTAAATATTAGGCAAGCAAATGAATACTGCTTGGAAGGAGAGCTTTTTAGTGGGCAGCAAACTTTATTCTTACTTTCTCCACCAAACAAAACAGGCTCAAAGATTCGTAAAACGATCTCAATGAGCACCACGTGCATTTTGTGGGCCTCCTATTCTGAGCTTCATTTAATATAATAAATTTAATGTACTCTTACAGCCATACACCAACATATTTTTAGCTGGCAACAAAAGATCCCCAATGAGGATATTTCAAATAGGAACTTATAGGTTGCACCCAGTGTTAGCCATCATAGTCAAAGTATTTCCATTGAAGTTAATAGACAAAACTAACTTCAGTCAATTCATTTCAGTGGATCTACTATGAGTAGAAATTAATCCAATACAACCCTATGTGAACATACCAAAAATGTACTTAATTCTGTGACTTTTGTGACTTTGCCATTAAACACACACAACAATATATTATCTGTTTTGAGGTGTGCACTTGGTTTAAGTTTGCTTACAGTGTCAAAAGGCACTATGGCTTTGTCTATTATTTTGCATCTAGTCGTAGTGCAATTTGTGCCCCCTCAGCCAACCGTAGCCCATTTATTGTAATTTGCCCTGCTTGGAAACTTTAGCTAACAGGGCATAGCAGATCCCCACCTGACATGGATGGGAATGTCAGTCATCTATCTGCACTGGCATCCAATTCCACAGCATGATACAAGCTCCAGATTTACCTCAGAAACCACCTCTCCTCCTTATGCTACAAAATTTTCCTAGACACCAAGAATACATTCTTACCACCACCCCGACTGTGCAGATGCTTATAACTGACATGAAGGCATTCTTGCAGGCCGCTTCAGAAATATGCAACTTTCTTTTTCTGGACACGTGGGGCTGCCTTTAAAGTACAGAAACTTAACTGCAAAGGAATGCTGCCACCTTGATGTTGGTGATCAGAGTATGTAAAACCAGTTCTTCACCAGCTTTGTGTTTCCAGGACCAAATGAAAGTGTAGGTTTTGACCTAAAGTACAATTGGGGACCAAGTTATTTGAAGGACTTACACCCAAATGGGTCTTTCCCAAGCACGAATATTTGCTCATCTTTGTTTCCTTGGTCAGTGCCATGGGAGAGAAGGCCTTATTTGTGGTTGCCCCAGTTTATGGAGCGCTCTCCCCGTGGAAATGGAGATTGCCTCAACTTCTCAAATTCATAGGAGGGTTTATTTCAGGCAGCCTTCCCCCCCCCCTTTTAAGTCTTTATTTTATAAGCTTAAAATAGAAAGCTACATTAAGAAGTATAGCTCTTTAGCAGCGAGAATCTGCACAGCTAGTTATTTTTAACCGAACTGTGTTTTTAAAAAGTTTGTACAGTTGCCATTTTAATTATATAGCTGTGTTTTAAAACTGTATTGTGTTTTTATGATACATAGGGTGCCTTGAGTGGGCTATACCTAAAAAGGCAGTCTATAAATAGATTTTATAAGCAAAAATACAAACACCTCTCCCTTCTAGGAAAAGAACAAGAGGTTGCTTCCCTCACACTGAAGGAGAGAATGGGAGCATGCCTTAGGGCTCACTTTTTCCTTACCTGCACCCCAAGACTTTTAAAATAAAATATATCTGCTCATTTTCACTTATGGCAGGAAAGCATAATAGGCACTGCATAACTCCACCAAAAGTAAAATCTGAAACCTTTTAAAAAGTTTAAAACCTAAAACAAAGCAGTCCACACCTTAAAATAAAGCTTTCCCTGTCTAGCAACAGGGGCAACTAAAATGTAGCTAGAACTATTCTCTAAATATATATGCAGAAAAGTTATTCAGTGTACAGTAAAGGTAAAGGGACCCCTGACCATTAGGTCCAGTCGCGGACGACTCTGGGGTTGCGGTGCTCATCTCACTTTATTGGCCGAGGGAGCCGGCGTACAGCTTCCGGGTCATGTGGCCAGCATGACTAAGCCGCTTCTGGCAAACCAGTGCAGCACACGGAAACGCCATTTACCTTCCCGTCGGAGCAATACCTATTTATCTACTTGCACTTTGATGTGCTTTTGAACTGCTAGGTTGGCAGGAGCTGGGACCAAGCAACGGGAGCTCACTCAAACCACCAACCTTCTGATCAGCAAGCCCTAGGCTCTGTGGTTTAACCCACAGCGCCACCCACGTCCCTTCAGTGTACAGTAGGCATATGCAAACTTTATACAAATCTAACATCTTCCATCCACTCTTTAGGGGGCATTTTATCTTCTGCGGTGATGTGCAAGTGGTCATCCTAAAACAGAAGTTGAATTTTTTTTTCACACCTGTGGTTGGTGCAAGACATAAAAATGGATGTGGCCAGAGATATAAATGGACAAAATAATGGATGTTACTTTTTCCTTTGTATAGTAAAGCTACATTTCAACGACTCAAAAGCCAGAGGTTTCTATCCACACACTAGCCCGCTCCCTGCATCCTCCATCCAGGCAAGCAGAAGACACTGCCACAGTTCAAGGACACCTTGCAGCCGGGCAAGAGTATTTGAGGAATGCCCAGTACAGTGTGTAGGGAGAGCGGTAGGGCCTTGGGACTGAGCATGGCCTGGGCAGAGTCATGAAGACTGGCCAGAGTGGCCAGAGTGCTGAGCTGAGGTTCCCTACCTTTGTACTAAACCAAGTGGTATGCAAATATGTTTTTTGCCCATGTTCATTGAAAAAAAAGTCATTTGGCAAAAGGTACTGTATTACTGTACTAAGAACTATAGGTAACCATTATCTCTTTCAGCAGTAAAAGAAAGAAGAAATAAGAAAGATAAATAGGCAAGTTACACTGAGACAAGGCGTAAGGTCTATAAAAGAGGATGTTCTGGTGTACTAAACCTTGACAAATGGGCAGATTATCCCACGTTCCATCGTCTTGACACACTGAAACCATGTTGTCTAAATCAGGGTAACGGATCTGGAATCCTTCATGACAGCTGATTATTAATTTATCTCCAGTCCCGTATGTCTTGTTATGAACCTCTGCATCTTCAACAACAGGTGCAAGGCAATCTGTGGCTTCATAAAGAAATTATATATTATTAACTTAAACGTCAAAAGTTGACCAGCTATGTGAAAACACTCTTACACAAAGTCAACCCACAATAGCAGTTATTCTTAGAAGAATCTGCAAACTTTTTTGCCTAAGCTGATTTAACACCACACTTCCATTAGCATTGAGACTATTATAGGATATTACATCCTGTGCATTATAGGCAAGTTCTCAACAATCTTTAATATTGTATGTATAGTTAAACTACCTTTACAGCAAAATAAAAATACAACCACTCCATCAACAATATTACTATAAAGAGTAAAAAAAACAACAACAACTGGAGGTATAATATGAAGAAGAGTTTGAAATCATTTATTATTATTATTATTTACCAGGGGGAGCACTGGCAGCAATGGTGCCTACCTGAGAGGTGCCGGAACTGCACTCCGGCTGAAAAAAAGCACTGCTCACATACCAAACTTATCTGCTACAGTATTAGACTAACTGAAAGCTAGTAATATGTATTTCCTTTTATGAAATGTATTTTTAAATTATGTATAAATTTATAATGCGTCAGTCACATCCATCCCCCTCCTCAGTCATCTTCAAACCTCAGAGCACCTCCACAGCATCAGATTATTTCAAATCCCTATTTACTTCTTTGCATCACAAGTGGCATTAAAAGGAGTGTTTGCATATTTATACTTTAGTTTCCTTCTGCTCCACATTACTATGGATTAGTTTACTCATTCCCTTTTCCCCCCTTTGTGATTTACACAAGAGTCTATTATAAGCTGCAGCACAAAAGGACATTTAAGGTCAGGAGCTGAACCCCCAACCTCAGCTCTATATCTATCCTATAGATTAGTCATAAAGAGTGTATGTATCAGTTGATTGATAGCAGCAGAGGCTCCTGCATTCTTAGCTGGAAAAGGGGCAGGGGAGGGCAATTTTCACAGGTTCCCATCTCAGCAGCAGCCCCCAGCACTGCATCCGACAGCACTCTGGTTGGCCTCCTAATTCCCTTTTTGGGAAACCAAGGAAAATCTGTGATATGCTGATGTTTGGTTTGTGCTGGGTGACATGAGCGGTCTGCTGAAATAATCAGTCACAAATTTTATGGATTTATTAATTTATTTTGGCATTGTACAGAGTGCTGTTTGTACTGATTTGCATTTTACAGTTTCATTGATTTATTGCGAACTGCCTTGCAATCATAGTACAGAGCTGTCTATAAACGGAACGAATCAATACTAAATTGTGGGTGTGAGAATCCTGTTCCACTGCGGAGGTCAATGCTGAGGCTGAGTTTGGTTGGGATTCACAGTTTAGGATCCCCCATACCTTTCAGGTGGCAAAAAGGTCAATTTATTGAAATTGCTCCCCCTCAGACCTCTTCCTAGGCCAAATCAAGCACACATAAGCCTCAGATTCCATTGACTTGCATGAGGGTTGGTCCTTTGAAATGTTCCAGAACTCTTAAAAACAAATCAAATATGTTTTCTTCTTCAGAAAGAAAACCAAGGTAGAGCAAAGATCTTTTCTGCTAACTTTTTTTTTTCAACCTCCCTAGGCTCAGGTGACACATACACACCAGGAGTGCACAGCAACATTTTGTTGCAGAGCACCACTTGCTTGTATTTTTAAATATTTTAAAATACGGTAGATAATATTTTTTTAAAAAAAATAATATTTATTGATAATTTCAGGATTACAAGAAAAATAAAAAATAAAAAACAACACTACAATACAAAAAAAGAAAAAAGAAAAAAAAGAGAAAAGCACAAAATATAAAAACCAATACGACAATACAGCAAAAGAAAATAAAAAAGAAGAAAAAAGGAAAAGAAAAAAAAACACAAATCCCAAATTGCATATCCATAATTTCCATTTGCTTGTTTCATTGACCTCCTCACACCTCCCTTTTTGTATTCTAGTTTAGTAATTATTTCAGCAAATTCTTTCCATCTTTCTCAATTTTTGTTATAAAATTTATTTTAACAATTTAACCTAATAATTAACTCAACAAGTCCTTTCCATCTTTCCCCATATTCTGTTATTCAAATTACCTTAATTTATTTAACCTTATCTTACCCCTAAGTACCTTAAGACTTAAATCTTAGTTTTCAAATATACATAGCTCCTGATATCATTTCTGCTAGAGTCGTATAGTTTCATTCCCACATTTTCCCTAATATTCATTAAGCTGATTCTAAAATAAAAAATTTCCATTATAAATTCTCTTCCAATCATCATCCAGCGTCTCTTCTTCCTGGTCTCGGGTCGTGTCAGTCCTTACTGTCCATTCCATCTAGTCCATCAACCTGGAAGCCTTATGTCCGAGGCCCTTAAGTCTCTTCCATGTCCCTTCTGCAATTCTTCTTCATCTTGTTTGTGCTTGCCCTTTTCCTTGTCTTTTGTTGGTCTCTGTCTTAGTTTCTTTCCTTTCTCATTGAGGAGTAGGTCTCTGGGGATTCCAACCCAAAATTGTCTCCATCACCCTTCATCCAGCTCGCCCATTCCCCACAGTCCCACTCCCCACAGTCCTCGATATAATCCAAAATGTATTTAAAATCAAATTTCAAGATCTCTCCAAAGCTAGGAACCTCCTCATCTCCAGACTCCCCTTGGCCCACTCCAACTTCAATCTTCAATAACAGCGGCTTATGCTCCTGTAGGGCCTCGGGTCTCTCCATTTGTACTATTTGAGGTGCAGCCGCATCCTCCTCCATTATCATCTGCACTTGCCCAGTCAGTACAGATTCATAGGTTGGTTCCTGAATGATTTCTGTATCAATGTTCCCTGTTTGTCCACAGTTATTAACCACAACAGTCAAAGTCTCATTCATCAAGTCCATCTTCTCATGCATCTGTTCCAGCAAAGCATTTGTCTTGCATAAAGCAAGCACCCAGTCTTCCTCCCAGCTCATCTTTGTTCAAGGTCAGAAAAGACTGTTCCCACGGTCTTAATCTCACAGATGTTGGGTCTCAAATATACTACAGCAACAATTTAGCAAGCTCCCTCTAGAGGAGACAATCTATTTGTATCCATTTTTTTTTTGAAGACAAAGGAAAGTTACTTTCATTTTTCAGATATTTCAGATGTTTTTCAGGTATTTTGTTTCTTTAAAATGCAAAAGGCAACATTAGAATCAACTTGTTTCTCTTCATTAGCTATCTGTCAAAGTATTACGTTCACAGTCAATGAACCTCTCCAACAGTTTCTGTCTCTGACACCCCGTTCCCAGGTTAGAGACGGTGGAAACTTATCCTTCTTCACTCCCTCTCCTGCTAGGGTTAAACAGAGTCCCCCCCCCCTTTTCTCCTGCTTCCAAGGGGGGTTTCAGTGATTCTGAATGAAGGAAATTTAGTCTTTTTTGACAGCTTCCCGGCTTTAGCTTGCAAAATTTTTGCTTTAGTCTATATACAAAAAGCGGAAGGCGGACTTCCTGTTTGCACCTTCCCGCTTCGATACCAAATTAAACAATTTCTTGATCCAATTTTCCGTTTCTACTCACGGGTACTTGTTTTAAGTCCAATTGTCCACAGGAAAAGTCAGCGCTCTCTGGCAATGGCTGTGCGGCTTCACTCCGTGAAAGTAGCAGTCAGTTCGTAGCACCGCGCTTCTCACCCCACTTCGCTCCGGAGCCCCTAGATGGGATTCCCCGCGAGTAGGGGGGCGCTTCTGGTGCCCTGCCGAACCCCACGTTCCCAGGCTTCCTCCGCCTGGGATTTCTAGCGGGTCCCCACCTTCGCCGCGGTGGGAAGACCCAGTTTCCACGGAGCCCGTTCCTCCGATCGGAGGAACTCCGCCATTCACCAATGGCGCTGACCCGGAAGTCCTAAAATACAGTATATAATAACATAACCACTTAAGAAGGGCTTGCAGCATGTCAAGTGTTATAAAGGATACTAGGTGTTCTATGTCGGCTCTTACTGAACTGTGCCTGGTTTTTTTTTATCAATTTCTTTTTATATGTTACATTTCTATTGCATTCCTTTCTCCAAATCAGCCTTTGAGAACTACAATAGTCAAGTAAGGTTATTTAGACTGAGAGGTAACACAATTTGCCCAAGGCCACTCAGCAGTCTTCTTAGGCAAGTGGAAACTGTGAAACACAATTTCCTCATGCACAATGCCAGCACTCTATCCCACTGCATTATGCAGTGTGGGGAGGATATAGGGCATGGACTCTATCCACAGCAAGCAGTGGGGAGGGGGCACAAGACCAAAGAAGCAAAACTAAGAGAGGAAGAAAGCACAGCATCTTTGATCTCAAGAGTGACATATACAGACCAACTGTGAGCAAAAACATCAATGAATACATCATTGACTTGTGGCTTGCTGTTGTCTTGGAGTCTTGCTGTTCCACAAATAGACACAGAACATAACTGAGGTGAAATGTAAGATTTTCATTTTCAAAAGCAAGAAACATTGATCCTGTTATACAATGACTTCACTCTCATTTATTTCAGATGATGGCTTGTAGATTGCACCATTTTAATTGTGTGGATGCTGGCCAGAAACACTGCTTCTTTCACTGAGCTGTTAGTGGACTGCCATCCCTGCAAATAGCTTCTGCTATTAAACCAACTTCAAAGCTTCAGCCTGAGGAGGAAAGTCTGCTGAACACTTATGTACAAAGGATGAAACTGTACAGTTTGTTTTTTACCCAAGACTCTAAAATATTTGGGGGGGAAACCTGTAACTACTAGCTCCCACTTTAGCATCTGGGGTAAGTAAATACATATTCTATATGGAACAGCTCAAAGTTAAAACAGAAAATTTAAAACTCCTCATTTGCTGCAAAGATGCTTAGCCCCTCTATTTTCTCAGTAAACACACAGTTGAAAGCCCAAAACACAATCTCTAAGCGGCAATGGAAATGAATATTAACATGCTTTTCTCTAGACTATTTCTTTTAACTATGATATCTGTGCCTTAAGATATGCAAGAAGCAAAACAAAACAAACCCAGCTTTAGCAGATCAATGTGGTGCTTACCTTTTAACAAAGATAAACAGAGAAAATGCAAACTCTGAAATCCCCAAGTGTAATATTCTGTTATGACAGAAGTATAGCACTAAGACATCCAGCATTAACGAGCCTGAGAGGTACTTTGCACATTACATTTTGCGCATGACCTAGTCCACTGTGGCCATGCACAGAGCCCTGTTTGTCCCCTCTTCTCCCACTTATGCACGTAAGTAATACAAGGGTTGTTAGGGAATAAGAGGTCTGTGTGCATCATTCATATGCCCACTCAACCATCCTCTGCTGCCTCATGCAAGTTACTTGTGTTCCATAACATGCATATACACAAAAACCAGAGAATGGGGAGGAAGCAACAGTAAAGGGAGCATCACAATGTATAGGGCTAGTGAAGAGAAGAGGCATAAGCAAAGCAAAACATTCAAATTCTGCTCCCTCTAAATAATAAGCTGAGTCAGGACATGAGTTCTGCGAGAGTAGTAAGTGAAAATATATTGTGTTTTCTGTTTCCCTGTAGATTGATCACACTTGAACTATTTACACAACACAGATGCTTGTACCTCCTGTCCCCTCTACATTTGAAACTGCTCAGAAAGGTGTGTTTCTCTGTCAGTGAATAGAAGTGAAGGGAAGTTTAAATCCCTAGCTTCTTTTAGTCTTAACAGGAGCATAGCCAAGTTTGTGACTTGAAAAGCAGTAGCATATGTTAGTTTGCTATGTTGTCAAATCACCTATTTGCCTGGTTTTGGCTCCAGTTTGTAATATGAGACAGCACAACAAACTGAGTTCCTTTTCTGGGAGTATTTTTCTCTGGCTAAGAACGTAAAAAAAAGCTTCTGAGCTTGTGCAGTGCAATTGTCTTCCTAGAACGGGTTCCTTGTATACTGAAAGGATTGTAGCAAAGCTAATGTTGTCCCACCCAGTCTTGACATATCAAGTACCAGAACTGTTTGCCCAATAGACATTTAGCGCAGAATTTCCATACTTTGTTCACTTACTTTTTACAGGGCATCTGTATGACGTACTGATGTTTCCCCTATGCTCATTCCATACTCTGCCCCCCACCCCCCAACAGAAGAAAATCCAACTTTTAAAAGAATAATGGAACAGTCACACAATCATCCCAAGGGTAGATTGACATGGGTTGGTCCAAGACATTTTGGAGGCTGCATTTTCACATGCAGGGGAAAGTCCCTAACTCACCGAGGGTTTGAGACCCATCGGCTACCCTCACCTGGTTTAGCTGGCCAGTCAAAGCAATTTCCCAAGGTGTGGCTGCTGCTGCATGCTGACAGCTTCTAAGAGCCACAGGTGAGAACTGAGTGCAGGATGGGGACCAAAGGTGTACAAACTACCCCAGAAGAAGCACAATGTGACCCCCGCCAAAAGTAATGCCCCTCCCCTAACACCCATACACCCTGAAAATGTATGGCAGGATTATTCCTAAAAGGAGGAGTTAAGCTCAAAAGCGTTTATTCCTGATATAGATACCTCGGTTGATAGTTAGCGGTAAAATCTATTAACAATTGATCAATGCAACTCAACTTGTTTTTTAGGTATTCTTCTACCAACGAACCCAGGATATGGTTTGATCAAAAATTTACAAGCCAATAGTAAGACCTCGTGACCTGTATGTGTTAGCTAATCCAGACAACTACAACTAATCCAGAATGCAGCAGCTAGACTGGTGATTGGGAGTGGCCGCCGAGACCACATAACACTAGTCTTGAAAGACCTACACTGGCTCCCAGTACATTTCTGAGCACAATTCAAAGTGTTGGTGCTGACCTTTAAAGGCCTAAACGGCCTTGGTCCAGTATACCTGAAGGAGCATCTGCACCCCCATCGTTCTGCCCGGACACTGAGGTCCAGTGCCAAGGGCCTTCTGGCGGTTCCCTCGCTGCGAGAAGCCAAGTCACAGGGAACCAGGCAAAGGGCCTTCTCGGTAGTGGCACCCGCCCTGTGGAACACCCTCCCACCAGATGTCAAAGAGAAAAACAACTACCAGACTTTTAGAAGACATCTGAAGGCAGCCCTGTTTAGGGAAGCTTTTAATGTTTAATAGACTATTGTATTTTAATATTCTGTTGAAAGCTGCCCAGAGTAGCTGGGGAAACCCAGCCAGATGGGCAGGGTATAAATAATATATAAATAATATATAAATAATATATAAAATTATTATTATATCAGATTGTTTAAAAATGCTGCTGTGGGTTTTGCCACCAATATGATATACAAATTTGTCTTATCAGTCGCGGCAGAGGATGTGGTTCAGTGTTTTTGGCACTGCAAATAAGCAAATGTTTGCGTTTCCTCATTGACAGCAATTCCAGATCACATCAGAGCATTGGTGGGAGGCCAGGAGGGGGCAGAACATGCTCAAACTGCGAGTAAGTAGGGCCACATCTAGGCACCTAGAAGACTGGAAGCAGTTTTTTTTTTACTTGTTAAAAATAACGAGAACATAATTACAAGGCTGTAATATGCAATCTTACATTGTGAATACGCGGATACATCATTTGCCCCCCCCCCGCCCCCAACCACTTAAGGATTCTGCATATACTGTATGTTGCTTCATCCTTTACCTTGATACTATATGACTTTCAGTGCCAATGCCTGCAAAGGTGTGTGGGCATGGACAAAGAACAGTGCACAAGTGCAAAGCAAAACATAAATAAATACCTTTCATGAGATTACTACCACAGCATAAAATGCACAACCATCATCCTAAAGAAAAAATGTCTTCTAGGCCTAAGAAAATTTGATTCTGTTGTTCTAGAAGCTTCAAATTTATGCCTTTTTGTTTTGCCTTCAGAATGTAATAATGTGGAAAACAAACTTAGTATGCACACAAAGCTTGCTAACCTGAAGCAAGAAAGATAAAGCGTAAAGTGTGGCAAAGAATCTCAAATATAGTGTCACTGCCATGCAGCTAATGATCATGGCCCAAAGAAAATAGAACCACCTGCAATCCCAAAATCATTGGGTTCTACACATTATTCAGCTGATAAAAAAAAGGAAGGCTTCTGGTTCTGATTGACTTCTTTGAAGAGCTGGTGCTCCTCATGATTTCACTATTCTCAAAATACACTATTGTTTGGGACTCCATGCTACTGATGACAATACCTTGTCATTCCCCTCTTTTGAACCATCACAAATGTCCAAAATATCTATGCCAATTTTGCTTTAGCCAATGGCAACTTGTGAAATAAACATTTCACACCTCCAGTTAGGCCAATACCACCTTGTTGGCAGCTGCAACACAAGGAGGAGACTTAAAACATGACAATACTTGAAGTGTCACAGAGGAGGAAAAACAGGTTCCCCACCTCTTTGCCCCACGCCCATGCCCACGCCCACCCCCAATGTTCAGTTGATCTAATTTGCTGCAAATGCATGTATTGCTCATGACAAGGGCTTGATCAACACTATTGAAATACATAGCAAGCGGATTCTTCCAGCAAAATGGTATCTGAACATTTTTAGTGGTGTGTTTATCCATGTTTGCACATTCATGCACAAACACACTAAAGACAGCCCATATTTTTAAATTTCTTGATCACAACATTATCACTGACAAGCACCCAATAAATCAAAGAGCTGGAGTTTTAGTGCATGTTGTTTAATAAATGGTGAAGCTTTTCCACAGACAAAGATTTTTTCCAAAACTACTGCTGGCAAGAGCCAGAGTTAGACCAGCAAAAATTGTCAAATATGTCTGAAACAGAAAATGAGCATAAGAAAATTGAACTAATTACATACAAAAGAAAACAAGTTCTTTTATTCCCACAGATGTGTTCCTAAATATAGAAGTAAAATTGCATTATTACTGCATTTTATAATCTGGCTGCCATTCTTTTCCGAACCCAAATGAATAATTTACAACATCCCCCGCAATACATAACTGATTTAATACTCCATTTAACACATACCCTTATCATCATTATAAATTTAACCATAATGCCCAGTAAAACATAACATTAAAATTTTACAAAGAGCACTCATTTGTCAGAATAGTAATTAAATACAACTAATAACATCAGATGAACTTTTCATCTGTTCATTAAGATGTATCAAGAGACTCCTGAATCTTCTGCCCCAATTCAGAGCCCACCAAACACACAGGGATAGAATGTACCAAATTTGTCAGCACACAACATTATTTATAAATAGTTTAACTCTAATGATTGTTTGCTCAAGAGGAATTGAAGGTTTTGCCTGGGGAACCCAGGATAACCTGGAATACCATTGGTCGGAATGAAAATGATATTGCATTTATTGCCTGGATTCAGCTAGGTCTCCAGTTTCCATTTGTTGTAAAAAAGTCTTCTCAGAAAGAAAGAAAAAATGAGCATGATCCTGTGAGCTGGAAGCACAGATACGTTAGAAATATGGAGTTTTCACAAGCAAAGTTTGTTGTTAGTAAATAGACTTACCTTCTTGGAGGCACACGGGTTTCTCGCTTGGCTTCCAGCTGAGGGAGCCGTTGAAATGTCTCTCACAAAGCTTTTTGGATGGGCCCTTAAGCCTGTATCCTTCTTGGCAATGGAAGCGGACTACTGAACTTTCAAAGAAAACACCTGCGCCAGGCATCTTATATCCATATTCAGGAAATCCAGGATCAGCACAGGCATGGAGTTCATCAAAACCTACGTCAACAAAGAGGCAAAATATTTGATGTTTGGTCAGAAATGTAGACAGTGTTCTTCCCATCTCCAACATCTGCCAAACTGAGATTCCAAGGCAATGTTACAGTCATACTCATTTCATAAAGTGACAAGTGGGGTCTGCAATAAAATACCGCTGCTAATTCCCAGGTTACTCTATGTGTTAACTTTGCTTTGCCAATATACAATTCTCTCCACTACCAGGCAATTTTAATCCCATTCCCAGCTTCCAGCCTTTGTTTGCTAAAATTACGTCTTTTCAAAAATGGTGTTCAAAGCAGTCAACAGCAGTAAAATACAGATCAACAGGGTTTTTTAAAAGCAAATAAAATGCATCAATGAAACTAATGGAGACAACAGCCAGTTTAACAAATTTCAACACATTTACTCTGGCTGTAACAACTTAATCAAAGCCCTGTCTGACTAAGACTATCTCTGCCTGTTGGTGGAAGCTCATTAGAGAAGAGGTTAGGTGGGTCTTCTGTGGTAAGTTGCCTGTAGATGCAGCTACCAAAAAGGTATTTCTCTTGAGTTTCCAACAAATGAACCCCAGCTTTTGGTGGGAGAGAAAAAAGAGCGTTCCTCAAAGATCTTAAAACATGAGCAGACTGAGGCTCTTACGGAAGAATATGTTCTTTCACTGCAGCAACTTTCCCTCTGATCCCTCTCTTTGCTGACTGCCTTTCAAAGGCTTTTTCTCACCCACAGACATTGAACCCTTGACCTCAATAACCCCTCCCTTGAACTCTCTCCCAGGTTTCCAACTCCATGTTTCTACTGCACCCACCCCCATTCTGACCTAACTTTTTGTCTTCTGCCACATCACTTTTAACACCAAAGTTACATTTTAGAAGTCTCCCCACCTTTGCACACATGTACACCCCCCCACACACACAGCAGAGGTAGCAATGTGCAATGCTTGTGGACTTCCCATGTACATCTTAGAGTAGCAGCAATTATCATCATATAGGATCCTGCAGACACTGTTACCTACATATTTATCCTGGTACCCGGATTTCAACCAAGTGTTTTGTTCTACAGTACAGTTTTGGTTTCCTGTCAACAGCAGATTTCTGCCTGACTTCTACCAAGCTGCAATGGAAGCTGGTCCATTAGGGCAAATGTGGCACCATCCTCAGCTCACCAGAAATCTCTCTGCTAAGCTGTCTCAGAGCCTAGTTTCTACAGCTACCTGAGCTTTATTTAAAACCTGGGCTGGAAATACTCCAGACTCTGGCAGGCTGAGTTTTTGAGCAAGGAAAAAGCAAACAACAAAAAATTGTATTTGTGAACCCTAATGTAATATTAGGAAAGTGAGAAAAACAACCATAAAAACAGTATGTTGACATGTTAAACTCCAGAGGTAAGGAACAACTATATCAAGGAAAGAAGGCTGGAGTTACAGCAGTTTCTTAGAAGGCTTACAACCAATTGCATTTTTACTCTCAACCAGAGAAAAGAAGAGCCCTTCTCAAACTGATCTTTCTTACTGCTGCCCAGAAAAAGGAAAAAACGACTTCCTTTGTAGGAGGAAAACTCAGTTAAAAGTGCTGATAGGGCCAATTGACACAGCTACCAACCTGTCTATTGTTAAACCGGCAATTCAATTGTTTAACTAAAAAGGTCAGAAGACCTGCATGTGGGCCCATACTTCATGCACAAAATATAATGTTGTGACGGAGACTAAATCCCTGTGATTCTTGCACTTCAAAAAGGAGCTGATGCATGTGTTTTGCCTCCAAGATTGACCCACCAATGCCTGAATCTACATACCTCTGCAGTAGCCTCTCTGACCACTGCCTTTAAAGCTGACAATTCTATGATGATCTAGTTGAGATTCTTGCACTGCAGGGGGTTGGGCTAGATGACCCTCAGAGTCCCTTCCAACTCTACAATTCTAGATTCCATTAATATTCTCTCTGTGTGTGAAAATCTCAATGTGTCTATGCCCATATCAGATAGGAAATTCCCCGATTTAAGCTGGGAGAGTGATCATGCTGCTCAGATTTATATGCTGGATTTCATGCACATTCATATAACCTCTTTCCAAGTGTCACTCCTCTGCATGGACATCAAGCGGCCTCAGAGATGAGGCAGCTGCACTACGTGTGAGCAGGAAAGGGAAGCAAGATAAGTGGCAGACCAATCAGGGGAGTAATCTCTGTAGTGTGGTAGGGTCAGCAACATGATTCAGTGGCAGGCTTTGTTTTCCACTTACATGTTAAGATGAATTACCAATGGACGACCTTTTGTAAAGTATAAGGTGACAACTGCTTTATGAAGCTTATTTCAACATACACAGTGGAGGTTTACAAAGAAGTTTTACAGGAAATGAATCAACCCCCAGAAAATGAGACAGTCAAACTAAGCAGGTGCTGAATGTTAAACAGCTTTGCAACTGGCACAGCAGGAGGGCAATTAATGCCAGTGGGGGAGAGACCTGGAAAGTTTGAAAGCTACCAACTTCTGACTTTTAATGCTTTGATTTTGAATGAGATGTATCTTAGGGGCTCACTATTTTCTGAACATTAAGCATCAAGAGACACCAAGGGAGAAAAATATCATAGTGGCTCAACACAGAGAACAATTTTCTCCCAGACACCCCCCCCCCAAAAAAAAGTCTGTATTGCATGGTACAAGTATCAACAACAACAGAAAATCCCACCACCACACCAGGCTAACAGCTTAGAGAGGAACATCGGTTCCCCAATGTCCCCAAGTGCAAATGATGCTGAAACAACCAGGATGAGGATATAATGTTTCCTAGCCCTAGGCACATAAATTCTCTGGTGTATAAAACTGGAATCCAACATCATTTGAAGAGCCACAGGTTCCCCACCCCTGGGATAGAGCCTATTTGTGAATTCATAATCCAAGGTCACAGTTTATTAATGCAGATAGTGTCACATTTATATAAAGGTCAGCCTTAGGAAGAAGTGTCCAATAACATATAGCTGTGTATGTATATGTTGTAATGTTTTTCATATGTAGACTCCTCTGAACAAAATGTGAAATATGACCATGCTGGACTTCATAGAACTTGAATAAAGGCAATATTTACACAGATATTTTTACAGTTTACAAAGTAGTTAAAACTCAAAGAACCTCAGCTTGCCAAGAAACAGTATTAGCAAGGCCAGTTACTATTCAGAAGAGAAAGATGCCTGCAGCAATCTTGAAATACATTTTTAAATGGAAAGAAAAGGGGAGGTATCATTAAGACTGCCTGGATAGGTTATCCACTCGTGGGTGTTTCTTCCTCCTCTTTCTCCCTCTGAAACATAAAGCCTCCCTGTTCTGTTAGGCAATTCACCAAAAAAAATAGATAAAATGTAAATATAAATGCTTTTAAAGCTGCTAAGTAGTCCCAACGTTAAAGTCAGTTATCATAACAAACCCTTAAAGGCCACTAAACATGCACTACATTAAAGAAATGTAACATAAAATGGGCTGCTGCAATTCTTAAAAGTCTGCTCAGGAAAGAGATGGTGTGCTTCTAGCAGAATACAACATTGTGAGTAGTCACTTTGGTTTACCACCCCCCCTCAATATTTTAAGTTTTAATATAATTATCAGTATCTGTACTTTTTGCTTCTAACATGACTGCTAACAATTTGCCTATCACTCTACAACCATGCGGCTCTACCTGCCAACTCAAAATAACACTTTGTGTATCTGATGAAGCAGACTCTAGTCACTGAAAGCTTATGCCATAATAAATGTATTAGTACTTGTGGTGCATAAGTAGCATGACTACACTCCTGGAAATTCTTAATCTAACTTGGTGCATATTTAATTTTCAAATGAGGCACCCAAAGGATTTGTGCATTTTGCTCCAACTTAATCCAGAGAAAAACACAAACAGATGCCTCTTTAAAGCAGCTTTGTAAATAATCTCAGAAAAGTTACTAACCTGGGGGGGGGGGGAACGACCCAAACCCTAGCCCACTCAGAGGCTAGTAGCCTGTATTTTTATGCTGGCCTCAAAGAAGAGGAAGCTCTCTCCCCTATAATAGCATCTTACCAAGATAGTGATATAGAAAAAAACCCTCTACCAAATAGGCTGGTGGAAGAGGGAAGAGCTGAGGGATGTTTCCTTCATTCACAGCCAGAACAGAAACCATATGATTCTATCATTCCCCCACCAGTCCACTCACTCACTCACTCACCAAATGGAATTCCTAGCTACTTTGCTAGCTTTTACATAAAAGAGTTCACTGGCAGAGGGTCTGAAGGTCTTGTATTCTTTTCAAAATTCCACCCTAGATACGCCTCCCACAGTGAAAGCATAAGCACCTGATCCAGTGTACACCGAGGGCCATTTTGCAAGAATGACACACCCACATACTTGCTATGAAAGCAGGCCAGCCCAAGATGTTATGCCGCCTCAAGTAGACAAGCAAATGGTCCCCTCTCACCTGCAAATCAAGGTGCATAGTACCCACAGCTGACCAAATTATTCTGGCATCTGGGGCAGAATAACTTTTCCCTGGGGGTGAAAACAAAAAAATAATAAATGGTTGCAAATGGACTGCCCTTTCATAAGACCCAAAATCAGATACCTCCCTCTGCCTAAGGGTAGGACCGGCACTGGTGAAAATAACACTAATGATGCACTTCAGAATATATGAGATACTCTTATCTGTATGCAGAGATTACCACTACATAGGAAAAATATAATGTGAAGCATTGGGTGTGAAATAGAGGATTAGAAACTAGCTTCCCACCCATACTGCTTACTGCATTTATCTGGTGCAGCTAGTTATCATGTGTGATGAAAGATAGAATTTTTCAACATATCAGGCATCCTATTACTAAAGATATCCTGGAATGATGATAGTATCAAGATATCAGGCTTCCATTTTATTTAATAGCACATTTTTACCATCTCAATAACCTTCTTTCTATCCAATCATAACAGAAAAAATGTGCTCCCAGTAATCAGTTTATATAATGTTATGACATTTAGCGCTTTTCACTGACTATTCAAAAGCCTCCTGCTATTGCTCATCAGCAAATTCAGAAGAGTTAAAGTTTGAGCAGCTCTTTCACATTAAACATATTAAATTAACTCCAGTGTTAGTGTAAAGGCCTTGACATCTGTTGCCCTGGTCACTACAGAACATTTTTAAACCAGCCAAGAGAATTTTCAGAGATAAGCCTTTGAAAAGAACCATGGAAATGTTGTAAGCATGAAAACTAATTGAGCTGGTTCCAGCTGAAAAGCCTTATCTTGCAGGGAAGGTTATATCCAGCTAGGCAAGAATTGCTTTAGAACCAGGTCTGAATCCATTTCTCTGTAAACTGATAGAGAAATAATACAAGTTTTTATTCTATTTTCCGGAAGCCTTCTTGTTGCTGTACAGAACAGCCCATGACCTACCAACAGAATAAAAACCCACAATATCAACTGTAAAAGCCCTCACAATATTATAAACTTAGAACTGGGTTGCTGTTTGTTTATCTACTGCTACTATGCTTGTAATCTAAAGAGGTTAAAAGTAATGTCAAAAACCCTTAAGGATAATAAATATAAAATCAGCAAAATTAAATAAGAGCAGTAGTTTTCTTCCCTAAAAGGTAAAGGTAAAGGACCCTTGACAGTTAAATCCAGTCGTGAACGACTCTGGGGTTGCGGCGCTCATCTCGCTTTACTGGCCGAGGGAGCCGACGTTTGTCTGCAGACAGTTTTTCCAGGTCATGTGGCCAGCATGACTAAGTCGCTTCTGGCGAAACCAAAGCAGCACACAGAAACACCATTTACCTTCCTGCTGGAGCGGTACCTATTTATCTACTTGTACTTTGACGTGCTTTCAAACTGCTAGGTTGCCAGAAGCTGGGACAGAGCAATGGGAGCTCACCCCATCACATGGATTTGAACCACTGACCTTCCGATTGGCAAGCCCTAGGCTCAGTAGTTTAGAACACAGCGCCACCCCTATGTAACCACAAAAAGCGACAGTTGAACAATGTCCAAAGACTATATCAGATCCAGCAGCCACACAGCAGCATCTTGACAGCATTTCCCTCCCAGCAAAGGATGGAAAATAATGGCTTAAAGTTAGACAAGGTGGGGGAGTACAGTCCACACCAGTAACTTTCTCATGAATGTCTGTGTTTGTCATTTTCACATTCATTCATTCATTAATCCGTTCCATCCCATGTCCATATTACTCTGTGAGTGTTTTTAAAAATCTGTATGAAAATGTAGAACTAAATATGTATTTTATCCAAATACATATAAAAATAATATTTATCTCAATGTATGAGATATAGCCACAAGGTGACTACATTAAAGTGTGTTTGTGGTAAAAAATATTTGTGAAGGCTTTATCAAGAGTGAAACTCACTTTTTTTGACAGCCCAAACAGAGAAGAGACGCTTGAAGGTTGAGTAACATTAGCTTTAAGTCTCTAGAGACTGACTACAGAGGAATTGCGAGACTGCTATGATGTCATAGTCAGAGCCCCAAGAGACAATCCTCATTTTCAAAAAAAGATGAGAAGCAAAGACATGTATCCAAGGCAATTCTGTCATCCTTAAGAACAAAATTGTGTAGATCTGAGCACTGTCCATCTTTCTACTTGCCAAGGGTTTCCCTCGGTTGAACCTACTTTTCACAAGCAAGTTTTCTCTGAAACCAATTCAATTTTATTTCTTGGGCTTCCAAATTCACCTGGCCTTTTTTCTCTGTTGCTCTGCTGTGTCAGGAAGCATAGGCTTTGCTGCTGACAGCAGGACATGATCTTCTGCTCATGCTTCTCATATTCACTCAGTGTACACTGCAGCTGCAGGGTTACCTCAGATCAACTTGGAACAAAATGCTGCAGAGGGACTACAGCAGAAGGGGCACAAATGTGCCGTGTGTCACACTAAAAGAGAAAGAAGCCATTAGAGCCTCCTGAATAATCGCAAGCACTAAGAGCCCCTTCTTTTAAGCATGCAGATGCAGAGCTCTCTGCCTCTGGGTGGTTTTCTCCCTCATTAGGGACATTAGCTGAAGTGCCCACTTACAGCTATGACAAGAAAAAGGACAGACGTGCACAGATTAGCAAGCTTTTCCTTAGGTACTGAATGCCACACTTACCATTTAATCAGAGAAGCAACTTCTGCAATTGCACATGTGTGTGTGTGTCTTCCACACCTATTCCTTAGGGGCTTCAGTTACCTACTGTTTCCTGTTTAAGATGCAGGTATACAATAACCCTGTTTAAGATGCAGCTTGCTTACCTCTTTTGTCAGATGACTTTCTGGGATGGGTCTGGCATTAGCAAGCACAAGGAGGATAGCCTTGCCTATATTACGGTTAGGAAAACCAAGACTGACGTGGGATGAGCCATCCAGCAAGACTGGGACAACTACAGGGCTGTTTATAGGGTAGTGTGAATAACAGGGAATAAACAAAGAGAAACAACGGAATAAGAATAAGGCTGCAAAGCTTGGTGTCGGCTATTATTAGAGAAATGTAGGCAAGAGCCATTGAATAGAATGCCAGTGGCTTCTTTTAATCCTGCCACCACTCCAGCAAGAAAGGAAAAAAGGCTCAGGAGGTTTAAGGAAGGAGCTGGCATCTCCCTTAGCCAGGGAGTCAGAAACTGTGAGCCCCCAGAGCCATGCATCAGAATGAGTGTCAAATAGGACCTGGGCTTAGATTCCTGCCTCAGCTGAGAAGCTTACAGGGTGACCTTGAGCCAGTCACTCTGCATCAGCCCAAGCTGAGGCAATCAACAAACGGCATCATTTGCCACACAATCACAGGAGAACAGAATGCGATGTCATCCACAGCCTCAGAAACAGTCCTGACATCTTAATGAAAGAGTCTGGAAAAGGAGAAGCTGTTGTCATCATGAAAAAGTTGGAATACATTACAAAAGACTGAGAGGCAATTATCCAGCACCATATTCGTCGTGACATGTAAGATAACAGACCCAGTTCAGGGCTCTCAAGCAGCTGCTGCAGATCAGATCACTGTGCCTGAGACTAGAATAACCTCCTTTACCATCAGGTTCTATGCGGCCAGATCACGATCCTCACAGGTGCCTTCTGCTGAGCTTGAGGAAGCAAATGCCTCTCTCAGTACCACACTAGTCCAGCAGAGCAGGACACACACCAGGAGGGAGAGCTAGGGAAGAGAGGAGTGCTCAATTTCAGGCCCAGAGAGTTGGCCCTTTAAGAAACTGAAGTTCTCAGCCAGGCGGAGGTTGTCTGGAGGCTGAGGTTTAAGAGCCCTCAGACGGCTCTCAACCTCTGCAGGAGCAAATTGCTCACTCAGAGCTATCCATGGTCCTGCAACTCCTGACCTGCCTTGCTGCCTTCTCCATGGGATCCAGCAGCAGACTAGAACACAGCCATATTTTACAGGCTCTACTGAAGAAGACCAGAAAGAATCACATATCCTGATGAAGGAACTTGCTACAGATATGCCGAAGCAATCCTATACTGACACATCCAGAGAGCCTTGGCCAGGGGATCTACTACCCAAAATAAAGAAGCCAGCAACTATTGTTGTGTATTCATGTTATCACTGTCTGGTTATATTAACTCCATTTTTGGACCACATGCCACCAATACTCCAAGTTACTTGTGGAACACTACTGATTTCCTGATGAAACTACAGCACATTGACAGTCTGCCAGAATATACCACCATAGTGACCATGGATGTTGCGGCTCTTTAATCAACACCCCCCTATAAGCCATCAGGCATATCATCCCTGATACAACATATCTAGCTTCCAAAACCGACCACTTTATATTTACCCACAACTGAAGACACCTTGTACATATGCCGTCCTTTATATAATGTGTTGCAAAGGCAATACTTGGGTCATATTGTAGGGAGAGATGTGGAGGTGAGGTCTGACCATGACTCAGTAATTAATCTTCTGGTGGGCAAGATAAATATACAACTGTGGAAACTGCACATTTTTTGTACAACTGTAGTAACTGATGGGAGGAGAAAAGTCTTAATAAAGAATGCTGTGTTTTGACTGGGAGATTCAGAATTCAAAGTTTGCTTCATGCCCTTATTCACTTAGGTTTTATATAACTTTATTCAGATTTGTGGTGTTTTATTTTATTTTATTCAATTATATTTTAATATTTGTTACAAGAGGACCATTTCTTTTTTAAAGGGGTATGTTGTGAACTGCCAGAGATAGTCAGCATTTTAAGTTTATACTGTAATTTAATTGGCTCTGAGTTAACTTCTGTTGATGTTACCTTATATTACTTTCATATTGTTAAACTTCTGTTTGGTGATGGTTTAACAACTAGATACATCAGAAGTAACCAACATTACACCCTCCATGTAGCTGTGGAACTAAAACTCCCATCCTCCTTGACCATTGGCCATGTCAGCTGGGGAGTAATGGAAGTTGTAGTCCAACAGTATCTGGAGGGCATCAGAATTTCTTTTCTTTTTTATGAAATAGGGCTGCCATATGCCTGGGATTTTCCAGACATTACTGGGATTTCAAAGGTGGAAGTGATGTCCATGACAGCTTTTCCTGGATTTTCAGCAAGTAAACTGAAAAATTGTGTTTTCTTGGACTTTTTTTTTTTTTTGTAACTTTGGGGTTTGTCTTAAAAAAGCTCAACTTTTGGGCTTTCCTATAAAAGCTCCCCCTTCATGGATCACTGCCTTGTTGTGGCAAAGGGGCTTGAATAACCCCAAGAAGCTATGAGCTATGCCATGCAGGGCCACCCAAGACGGGCCACCCACCTCAGGTCATAGCTGAGAGTTTAGACTAAATGTGATCCATGTAGAGAAGGAACTGGCAAACCACTCCAGTATTTTGCCAAGAAAACTCCATGGACATAAAAAAGGAGAAGCTTTTGAGAAGAAAGTGAGAGTTTCCAAGGGTTCAAGTCGAACATGACTAAGACGACTAAACAACAACAACAAATAAAAGCTCAACGATTTTTGGGGTGTCCTGGTTTTTACTTTTTGAAATATGGCAACCCTAAAATAGTTTTATGAGTAGCTACATTTTTATAATTGGTTTCACACTACTTATTTTTCTATTGGCTTGTATTTGTTTGTGAACCACCTTGGTGTATTTCTAGAAATCAAAAGTGGTATATAAACAACAACATTTAGTTTGAATAAAAAGATGGAAAATGACTCCAGGCAGCAGCAGTACTCAAAACTGAGATTTGGATTGAGCTATTCATATACACAAGGCAGATTTTAATGCTTCCAGCCATTTAAAGGAAAACAACATGACAAGGCCAACTGCATAATTTATGATTGCTTGTTAAATAGGTGTTATGTACTATTCAGCAATTCCCTAGATTTAGTTCTTAAACAAAAGGCAAAAAATTTACAAAGCAAATCTGCCAAAACTTCTTTCAGAGCATTTAGCTCTTACTAGCATAACTTTTGTTTCCCTATGAAAAGATTGCTATAACTGTCAAAAATGGTTTACTGTATGTGTATACTACTTCCTCCCCTCAAGGGAATTTTTAAAATTTCAGACAGGAGGGAACAGGCCTGCAAGTCTCGAAATGAGTTTTATTGGTTATGCTACCAATAAACATAAATGTAACTTAAAAATTAATGAAGAAAGAAACAGAATTATAACATCAACAGTATTGTTACTTCTGGGTGTTGATTTTAGAAAATGCATTTAGCGTTCATTTGAAGTACTATAGTGCTGAAGCACTTGCAGTTTATCTGTCACATTTTGGAGCAGTCTGGAGGGGGTAAAATTAATTACTATTGCCATTCATTAGTCTGAATAATTTTATACTGCACATGTATCCCTTAGGAAATGTAGCAAAGCAGCATCAGAAATGAAGTGTGTGTTTGTGGTTTTGTGTGTGTGTGTGTGTTGGAATTCAACATCACACTATTCTAATCATTTATTCTGTGTAAGCATTCCTGCTAGCCAGACGAAAGGTTCCCCCCTTCTCCTCCCCCCAGCATGCTCTGGTCTCAGGGCTCTCAATCCCCAAATCCAATTTGCAGGCAGTGTGGGAGAAGGAGAGGGAGAGGGAGAGGGAGAGGGAGTCCCATTGCAATAGTTTTTGTGTATGGCTTCAGCTGGTTAGGTGGACCCCACTCATATGTTTTTATTTCTAGGCCAATAGCACAAGTATACATCAAAGAAAACGCAGAGTAATTAAATGGCACTTACTCCATTCAATAGAGGGCCTGGTTTCTTCAAGGCTCTAGAATCAAACACAGGTGTCACTTGAAGTTACAGCATTAAAGTGTAACTATTATAAAGCTCCGTTGTACATAATTCACTGTTCTCTTTTTGTTTTGGGCATAATAGCAATTTTGCTGTTTCTGAATAATCAGAAAGAACTGACAACTTAACAAGGACAGGACCTCCTGTAGTACCTTTTTGCAGCTAACATCCTGCGAGGCAGCTACCTGACCTTTTCAAGATTTTGGATTACCTTCACTGCAAACCCTGTTTTATAATTCATTATACAGCAAGTCCATGTAGTCATGTTCTCTACATGAAAGCAGTCCCAAATCATTGTCATAACTCCCCCATACAGGCATATGTTGGTGTGAACTAAGCTACACGTGCAAGGCCAGTCCTTACATTAGGCAGAATGAGATGGCTGTCTCAGGTACACAAGTGCAGGGGTGAGGACTGATGGGGAGCTGTTGGTGCCCACAGTTGTGGGCACCATGTGGCCTGCACTGTACCCTCTAAACTACCCATCTGCTCTCAGCTGCAGTGGAGACAGCCACCAGTGTTCAAGTAAGATTAAGCTACCAGTCCAAGAAAACTGGAGGGTGAGTGTTGCTGTCTTGTTCTTTGCCTCAGGCAGCAACATGTCTTGAATGGCAATATGAAAAGGTGATTTATTTATTTATTTATTTATTTATTTATTTTTAAAGGAGCAATCAGGTAGTTCAAGGAAGCCACACAGGTTCCCGGTGCTCAGCAAAGAGACCATTACTATTTGGCTTCAGTTGCTAGCAAGGTGTCAAACAAATCCACAAGGTCAGCATTGTGACTATGCCTCACTTCAAGGTTTATTGAGAGTACTAAGAGGCCCCAAACCAGGTATTCTGCCTTCATTCCTTGCCATCTAAGCATGATATTATTTACTTTTTTGCTTCAGTAATATTTCTTATAACACTACAATTTTGATTTGTGCAGAGTTCCTAGTTTCCATCAAATTTATCTTTGCTGTCATTTAAATTTCTAAAGGTTTTCATCTGGTTTTATAGTACAATAACATCCATTTGATTTATGCTGCTCCTTGTTTTCTATACTTCTGGCAACCCCCCTTTCATTAGTCACAGGAGAAATCTTGCCCCAACCTTTATGGTTGCTCTTTGGAGATGTGCTAGAGCGTTTCTTTTCAGCTAAACACTCTTCTGAGATGGAATGACCAAAATGAAACCAAGCATCTGAACTGAGGGCAGGAACAACCTGTGCCCAAGAAACGTCTCTCAGTTTTGTTTATTTCTCCCAACCCAAAGCCTTTCTTTATCACCCTTTAGTTAAAAACCCATCAGGTGCTCAGTAAATATATATATATATATATATATATATATATATATATACACACACACACACATATACACACAGTGGTACCTCGGGTTAAGTACTTAATTCGTTACGGAGGTCCGTACTTAACCTGAAACTATTCGTAACCTGAAGCACCACTTTAGCTAATGGGGCCTCCTGCTGCTGCCGCGCAGCCAGAGCACGATTTCTGTTCTCATCCTGAAGCAAAGTTCTTAACCTGAAGCACTATTTCTGGGTTAGCAGAGTCTGTAACCTGAAGCGTATGCAACCTGAGGTACCACTGTATATACCGTATTTTTCGCTCTATAAGACGCACCAGACCACAAGACGCACCTAGTTTTTGGAGGAGGAAAACAAGAAAAAAAAATTCTGAATCTCAGAAGCCAGAATAGCAAGAGAGATAGCTGCGCAGTGAAAACAGCAATCCCTCTTGCTGTTCTGGCTTCTGGGATAGCTGCGCAGCCTGCATTCACTCTATAAGATGCACACACATTTCCCCTTACTTTTTAGGAGGGAAAAAGTGAGTCTTATAGAGCAAAAAATACGGTATATTACTGTAGGAATAAAACCAACATTTAAAAGAAGGCCATACCTTTCAGTAGAACTGGTGAAACCACAATCAAGGAAAGTTAGCAGCACATGCTGTGCAAATTAAAAGGGTCTTTTTCTGGCACCAAAATGACAAAGCTGATATCAAGAGAACCTCTTGGGGAAGCTCCAGCTCTTTCTCCTCCCTCCATGTGCCAACCTTCTCTATGGAAAAAGACGGGCTGCAGGGTTCTGGGACTGTGTGTGTGTGTGTATGTTTATTTTAAAAACCCAACAGACATAATATTGTACTCTTCATAATACTGCACACTGTAATTATTCTGGTTCATTAAGAAATGCACAAAATAAATGTGCTATCATAGATATAAGACATATCCTACTGCAGTCTTCTTTCCTTGGCAAAATTTTTAAGAACAGGTACTAGAGAAACCTCCTGCTTGCTTCCGTGATTGACAAAACAGAAAGAGAGGAAACAGAAAAGAATCCAGGATCTCTCTTGAGATAATGAACTATTCTTGTCACAACGAAATGACCACATTACTGAAATTCTACATTATCAATTCTCTGCTACACAATGAATCATCCTGTCTGTGGTTTGCAGGTTGAAAAATTCTCAGAATTAGGACAGAATGGATGTGCACTTTTTGAATCCCAGTTAAAAGCATGCATCCCTCCATCCAAAGAGGAAGGCAGAGGACACATAATTAGAGCTCATCACAATGAATTGTAGTCATGTCTGGCCAAGGATTGGGGAAGCAGGGTCTGGTTATGACTTAATTAATCTAGTCTGCAAAGGACTGAATGCTAAAGGAGGAGCTTCAGTGCCTAGTTCTTGAAGGACAAAGGTGCCAGTGGGACTGATATTAAGAGTCCTCTCTCCCAGAGACCTAGAACAAGATGAAATGTTATGCATTTACTATACAGACATTTCTGAGTAAAAATTTAAAAAATTGCAGAGAAAAATCTAACACCAATAGAGAGAGAGAGGTTTCAGAATGAGACAGGTTTAACAGTGGTTAAGAAAGTTAAATATTTGGGGATTAACTTGACAGCAAAAAATGGGAACTTATTTAAAGATAACTATGAAAGATGTTGGGCTTAAGTGAAAAAAGACTTAGAAATTTGGTCAAATTTGAAGCTTTCACTGCTGGGTCGCATTGCTGCCGTAAAAATGAATGTATTGCCTAGAATGTTATTTTTGTTTCAAACATTGCAAATTGTGGACAAAATGGACTGTTTCAAGAGGTGGCAGAGAGATATTTCTAGATTTGTCTGGCAGGGCAAGAAGCCCAGAATAAAATTCAAAATACTAACAGATGCAAAGGATAGAGGTGGATTTGCCCTGCCAGACCTTAAACTTTACTATGAATCAGCAGCTTTCTGCTGGTTGAAAGAATGGCTGCTTCTTGAAAACACTGACATTTTGGATTTAGAAGGTTTTAACAACGTATTTGGATGGGATGCATATCTGTGGTATGACAAGGTCAAAGCACATAAAGCATTCAAAACCATATTGTCAGGAAAGCACTGTTTAATGTTTGGATAAGATATAAGGATTTATTGGAAAACAAAACTCCAAGGTGGCTGTCACCAATGGAAGCGAAAGCCTTGAAAAAGCTCAATACGGAGGTCAAATGGCCAAAATATTGGGAAATTTTGGAACAAGATGGAGACAAATTGAAATTGCAGAGCTTCGAAAAATTAAAAAACAAAGTGCGAGACTGGCTTCATTATTATCAGATAATGGAGGCATACAATTTGGATAAGAAAATTGGCTTCCAGGTGGAAAAATCAAAATTAGAAACAGAACTGTTAGAACCCAAAACTAAGAATTTGTCAAGAATGTATAACTTGCTGCTGAAATGGAATACTCAGGATGAAACGGTGAAATCTGCTATGATTAAATGGGCACAAGATGTGGGACATAACATCATGTTCGCTGACTGGGAACAGTTATGGACCACAGGTATGAAGTTTACGGCATGTAATGCCCTAAGAGAGAATATTATGAAAATGATATGCAGGTGGTACATAGCCCCAGTTAAGCTTGCAAAAATCTACCATTTGCCTGATAATAAATGTTGGAAATGTAAAGAAACTGAAGGTACATTTTTCACCTTTGGTGGACGTGCCCAAAGATTAAGGCTTTCTGGGAGATGATATATAATGAATTAAAAAAGGTATTTAAATATACCTTCTTGAAGAAACCAGAGGCCTTTCTCCTGGGCATAGTCGGCCAATCGGTGTTAAAAAGGATAGAACTTTCTTTATGTATGCTACAACAGCAGCAAGAATACTCATCGCAAAGTATTGGAAGACACAAGAGCTACCCACACTGGAGGAATGGCAGATGAAAATGATGGACTACACGGAATTGGCGGAAATGACTGGCAGAATCCGTGACCAGGGAGAAGAGTCGGTGGAAGAAGATTGGAAGAAATTCAAAGATTATTTACAGAAACATTGCAAAATTAATGAATGTTAGAGTGATGTTGGATTGAAATTAAGTGGCCTCTAGCTGTACAGGCTTTAAAGTTATAAATATATTAAGATTAAGGATTAGGATTAAAAAAGTTAAAAGAATGGAAAAATTGGCTTTCAATAGGTAAAAATTTAATGTTATAGTATATTAAGATTAAGGATTGGGATTAAAAAGGAGGGAAAGGAATTGCTGGACTAACAAATTGAATTGGAATACAAAAGAAGGAGGTATGAGGAAGTCCGGGAAACAAGTAAATGTAAAAGTAGTGATGAAAAGATGGAATTGTTTTTAACTGTTTTTTCTTTTTTCTTTTTGTATTTTGTATTGTGTATTTTTCTTTTTATTCTTGAATTTTTCTTTTCTGTTGATGTGATTCTTTGTGAAACTTTAATAAATATCATTTTTTTAAAAAATTTTTAAAAATTGCATGGAAATGTGTCACATCTATCAATCACAGGCACACACATTCCCCCTCTGGCTGTGCTTACACACATTTATTTATTTATTATACTTACAAAAGTATTAATATGCTGCCATTTATACTGCAGAATCAGGGTGGTGTGCAGCAGTAAAATGTAAAATATCAATAAAAACAGTATAATGCAATCATTAAATGATTTACCAGTAAAAGAAAAGCTACTAGGAAGCCGCAGTTAATCATTGCTACCTATTGCAACTTTGTGCAACAAAATGCACACATTTCCTTATTCTTTTCTACATGGAAATGCTTTCCATACAGGAGAATTCATTACATTTGAAGCAAATCTTAGCTTTAAATGCAGAATCTGAGCAGATCTCACTATGAGCTTCGCAGGCAAGTCAGAATTCTATCATAGCTGTTCCAGCACATCCCCTTTTTCTAACACTCTGGATCTTGTGTTTAAAGGGACCATTATTACAAATTGATTGTGCCGGTTAAGATGAAGAAGGAACTTCAGGGCAGCCAGTTTTTGCTGGCCAGGGGAAATGTATTTTCTTTGCTTGTTTACTCCAGGCAAACTCAAATCTCTTGCTACTCTCAATGCCTTGTCCAAATGCTGGGAAAACATTACAGTTCATTTATAATGCAAAGGGGAGATAAAGCTGGCTTACCAACCTATTGTCTATGTAGAAAAGTGCACAGATCCCCATCGGTTTGGCTCAAAGAATCCCCTACCCATCAGTGAAAAGTAGAAGAAGAAATTGGGGGAAGTGCAGAGCGTGGCACCAACAAATAGGCTCCAGAATGAAATGTAATTGATAGTGTTATCCATGAATGCTTCAAAATCATCCCAAAATGGTCCCAACATGTGGGGCCAAACCAGCCAGATTCATTCATATATGGTTCATCTATATGGGCGGGGAGGACAGTTATTGGTTTGTGTTTTTTGTTCTTGCTTTTATCATGTATTTTGTGCTTTTATGTTGTAATTTGATGTTGTTCAACATCATCATCATCATCATAGTTTCATTGGCCATTTCAGGCACAATTTCTGGTGATACTAAACCCTGAGCAACTTGGGACCCAAATACCTGAAGGAGCATCTGTATGAATTTGCCTGTTCTTTAAGATCTTCGCCCAAGAGCCTTCTCTATGTACTTCCTTCATATGAAGCATGAAGATCACCTACACAGGAGACAGCTTTCTCAGCAGCTACGTTCTGATTATGGAATGTCTCACCCTGCTAACATTCAGCCTCCAGACAAAGATGCTTTTGTTAACCCAGGCATTTTAAACTATTTTATTGATTTAATCAAGCAGGTTTTGGGCTGCTACCATTTAACTGTCAGGCAAATGCATTTTTGTTTACCCAAACACTGTAAAGTACTTTATTGATTTACTATAACAAGTTTTAGGCTGCAGTCCTATATACACTTATGACTTGTCCACATTTCTGTTTGTGCTATGTTTACTTCCGTTTGCCCCATGTTTTCTACGCATGTGTCCAAGAGGGGTTTTTTTTTTGTCTCACCACTTTCCCCAGCAAATCACTCACTGTTTACTGCTGAATCAGAACAAACGTTAATCCCCAGAAAACTTGATTGATTCAGTGGTAAACAGTAGGTTTTCCTGGGGAAAGTGGTGAGACAAAAGAAAAGCCTCTCCAACCTAGAACTCACAGTAGAAAAGGAAGTGGTTGAGCCCATAACTATCTTCTTTTCATATAAAAGGTAAAGGGGACCCCTGACCATTAGGTCCAGTTGTGACCTACTCTGGGGTTACGGCACTCATCTCGCTTTATTGGCCAAGGGAGCCGGCGTACAGCTTCCGGGTCATGTGGCCAGCATGACTAAGCCGCTTCTGGCGAACCAGAGCAGCGCACGGAAACGCCATTTACCTTTCCGCTGGAGCAGTACCTATTTATCTACTTGCACTTTGACATGCTTTCGAACTGCTAGGTTGGCAGGAGCTGGGACCGAACAACGGGAGCTCACCCCGTTGCGGGGATTCGAACCGCTAACCTTCTGATCGGCAAGTCCTAGACTCTGTAGTTTAACCCACAGCACCACCCACATCTTTTCATATAAGCATGCATATAATTGTACTTTTAGTCTTTTGTAAGGTTTTGTCTGCTGGTTTTATCTTCTGTTCTCTTGGGTTTTGTTGCGGGGTGTGTATTACACTTTCCATCATCCTGAAATCTGATATTATGAAAGGCGGCATAGTTTTTAACAAATAACATATCCAGGGCACAAGTTAAGGGAACCTTTTACAACAGAGAGGCATAAGAATAGGGTAGACTGTACGTGTTTTAGAAGTAACAGTTTTTTGTTGCTAATTAATGTAGCTCAAGTTTCCAATTCCTAGGCACCAACAACAAATTTTTGTAAGCCAAAATCAAATGATTTGCTGACAGCCCTACACAAACAATACTGAGAAAACAGAGCAAAACAAATTATCAGGTAATAGCATAGAAGCTATAAGACCTGGGCAACCAGTCACAGGCAATTTTTCAGCTCTAGAGATAATGACTTTCATATGCCAAGTTAAAAAAAAAAAAAGGTAAGAGAGTAGCAGGATTTTGAAATGACAGTTTGCTGTAAATTAAGGGGATTCAAATGACCACAATTCTCTTATTGTGAATTAATTTATGCAATGCAACCACCACAGCACAGTCACAATGGAACTGTACAAAATGAAAGGGGCAAATGCATGAACACAGCCAGATACTATGTTTTCAGCAAACTATTTTTAGCAGGTTGCAAAAAGATTGGCAATATCAGAAGGAACCATGTACTGCATCCCTTTTGGCGACTCCCTTCCATACAACTTCCAGGGACTGAAAAAGTTAAAATCTATGGGTTGGATACAGATCTGTTGTTCCATGATTAGACAGACCCCTTCAGTTTGCAGGAGTGTGCCAGATGCAGCAGAGGCTCTTGTTATGAGAACTGGGTGCTCACATAGGTGGAAAAACAGCCTCCTGCTATCCTTGGTGCCACCTCCCACACTGTTCTGGAGGTTCAGGGCCTCAGAGGGTTGAAGGTGGGAGAGGGAGACCAGAAAAAATACCTCCCATGCAATCTTATCTTGCCTGAACTCCTCCATATGTAAGATCCATAACTCACATTGCAAAGAAAGCAAAATCCACTGAAAATCCATGGAAAGGTAGATACCTTTTGTGCATTCTACAGATTCTTGGGTGCCATCACTTTTTCTGCCATGTGACATTCTTCTACCCCAACCCAGATATTTTATTCTGATTCTGAACTTTCAGCCATCACAGATTCCCTCCATTATCTATCTATCTAATCTATCTATCTGCATTAGGCACTAAGGCACTAATGATTGGTGGAATCACAACAGAGAATCCATGGAGTCTGATAGAAAGATCAATCATTTAAGTGACAGGGAGAAAATAAGGATTGCAGCCAAACATGAAAGCATTTGCTAATTCAGAATACATTTGACTTTAACAGAGGTTTTTGGTAAAAGGAAACTTACTATGCTATTTGCTCAAGTCAGTGACTAAAGGAAAAAATAAAGACACATTAAAATGTTTCTTCTTCAGCAGCTTAAATTTCTCATAATTAGGATCAACACACTTGACCACTTTAAACTGAACAGCAAGCCACTGAGTTTGCCTCTGCAGCAACTATATTAAATTTAGATCACTTTTTAAGAATGTATGCTTTTCTAAAGGAAAAAGGCTGCTAAGTTTGTGTAGATACAATTTCTTTGTTGTTGCAATGTAAATATATATTTATTATGTTTGTGCCTGTTCCCATGCCCTACTGCAGCCTTTGTTGACTGCGGCTTATGGGAGTTGTTGTCCAAAACATATGAAGGGCATTAGATTGGCAAAGGCTATCCTATGGTGACCAGGCCTAAGTACATGTCACTGAAACTGCAGCATATTCCTTCCCTGTAAACTCCACCTACACTTCCCATTGGTGGTATTATACCATTTTATAGATACATCGATGTCTGCCCATGATCCAGAGGAACTAGGAACTCACATGTCTTGAGGGAAAGGCGTAGTTCCAGTAGAGAAGGAGTTCATGAAAGACAAAATGCTATCAAATCCAGATACTGAAATCAGTAATGCCATCCACTGGATTAGAGTTTGACAAATCTCTCAATTTCATTTCCTCTCATTTTTCCAATACTTCTCCCCATTTCCTTATCTGTTCTAGATTGGAGAATTTTAAGAAGTGTGGATTTCAAAATGATACCTTTGTTTTGGTTAATCCATTGGTTCAGGAAGCGCAAATTAGGTAGGTTAACAAACCAAACGAATTTCTTCTCCATTCCTTTCCTTGAGTGAACAGCTCAAGCCTTCCAGGAGATTTACTCATCAATTATCCAAACCCCACACTCCCCTGTGTATTCTTGCATTATGCATTGAGCTGAGCTGAGAAGCAAGGCTTCGGGGGGTGCAGGACCTTTCAGCCCAGGACACAACATCAATATAGGGCTCAGTAAAGTTCTGCGGCTTTCAATAGTGATCTGTCAATCTTAGAACTGATCCATCATCCAGCTGATCTCCCTTTGATATAGACTAGGACTCAGTTCTCAAAGAAGCAGAAGAGGCAGTAAATCTGTTTCTGGTTTATTGTATCAGTTTTGACTGCTAGGTACCAGGGAGGAGAGTCTGAAACTAGTTTTCTTCCCCACATGCCATTTTTCTATATGTAGGGATCATTAATTTTTACTGGGGTAGCATTCCATTATGTAACATTTTACACCTGGACGTAAGTGAAACAGTTCGGACACTAGTTTACCTGTTCAACTGTTGTTGGTAAGCATAAACTGCAGAACTGCTATTGGCATCTTTCTTTGCCACCTACTCTCTTCCCACCAATTACCAGTTGCCATAACCTTCTGCCAACCCGTTATCAAAGTCAAGACTCAGAGGAACTCACCTTGGTACCTATGGGGCCCAGGCAGCCAAATCAACTCCTTCCTTCTAAGGAACCCAAGATGGATATAGACTTTTTCATTTTACACTCACAAATGCCCTGTGAGGTAGGTTAGGTCAGGAAATACTGACTGGTTTCCATGGCTAAGCAAGGATTTGACTCCACGTTTTCCTGGCTCAGGTCTGATGCTTTGTTCATTGCTCTGGCTTGATTCATGAGTGCTTTCAGGAGGCATCAAGTATCAGTAAGAATGATAGCTATATACCATCACTGGTCATGGTGTGCATCACTGGAAATCATGTCCCAACTGCCTCACCCACAATAAGGACAAATGTGGAAAAGGGGAAGAGGAAAAAAGAATCCACATTAACTGCAAAACCAGTGAGCCTATACACAAGCTGACGTATCCACCTGATTGGCTCCTGAGTGCAAGCTGCACTTGAAGATTGCTAGGTTGCATTGCCCTGAACCAATTTCCCTTGAATACTTGCATTTCTCTGGAACAAACAGTCTCACTTGTGTCCAATCTTAAATGGCTGGTTGCTGGCCTGTGCATTACCTTCAGCCTCCTAGTCATGCTAAGTTAGCTTGTCTATGAAGCTTAGACAGTATAGACCCCTAAATACAAGCAAGCCAAAGGTGATGCCAGCATGGTTAAATATCAGGATTAAGGATAATCCACATAGCTGCCTGCTTTGTATTTAAATGCCACTCTACTATGGTCTGGAGTTTCAAATTTCTGTACGAGTATTTCCATTACTAAATCCAGATGTAGATTTTATCTCATGGAGCGGGTCAACCTTCCATAATTCTTTCTGCCCTACACTATATTTAGCATAAGATCGGTTTCTTAAATTCCCATTTTGGTATTGCAGTGTTGCAAATAGTTCCAACAGGCGTCTATAATTCAGGCATGCATTTTGCCCCTTGTACGGTCATCTAGGGTGGGGACGACCATAAAGTATACATTTGTTGACCCTTGGCAAACAGATGAATGGCAAAGAATGCCCCTTTCTGCTGTTAGCTTGTTCATTGCATCACTCCTGGCGCAAGGCAGACACAAAACAAAAGAAGACACGTAAAAAATGAACACAAAGTAGTAAGCACTGAAGTTGGCACAGATAAGATGGCAAAGTAATTACATCTGAATTCCTCCAGAGTAATTACACCAGAATTGGATGTAATTACTCTGAGAGAAGTTGAAAGGGATTATGGGCAAACATGACATTATAAAACATTTAACCTGATTTCTTGGTTTGCTTTTAATTTAAAGTCGCCAGCCTTTTACAAAAGTATGCTTTTCTGCTGAATGCTCTTTATGTAGCAATAAGCCAATATCTCCCCTATCTGAACTCATTGCATGCAACCTTAAAACATCCAGCACTGGAACATCAAAACATAAAGAGATAAGCTTTTAAGTCTCCTTAGTGTTGCTTTTCAATTGCTAGCTTGTGTGATCGGTTGGCTGCTTGAACCACTCCCGAAGGAGGAGGTCATTCTTATTTTCAGTATGTTTTAACACTACCGTTGAACACATGCCACGAGCTGAAGCTTGTCACTCAAGGTCATAGCCCAAGTGCAAAGACCAGAGAATCCAATTATTTATTTAGGGAAATTGGACCCCATATTTTGCACTGAAACATGAGAGTTTCCTTATGCTATATGGCAGGGGTCCTCAAACTTTTTAAAAGGGGGCCGCTTCACTGTCCCTCAGACACTGTTGGGGGCCGGACTATAGTTTGAAAAAAATATGAACAAATTCCTATGCACACTGCACATATTTTATTTGTGGTGCACAAAAAACAGGAAAAATATTTAAAATGAAGAACCATTTTAATCAACATAAACTTATAAGTATTTAAAAAAAAAAAAAATTATTAACAAGCCAATCACATCACATTATCCAAATCACATTAGTTCCAAATTATACAGCCAAATTTTAAATTTTTTGGGGGGGTACCCATACATCAAGCTCCGAACGAGTCCAAAACTCCGAACGAGTCCAAACATCACTTATATTACTGCTTTAATTAAACAGTTCTATCCAGTTCAATCCAGATAGTCCTTTATTACTTTCTTCATCTTCTTGTTGTTATCGTATATTCCTTTCTTTGCGATCTCTGATAATTTTCACAAGCAGATTGAAAACAGGCATCCTCTGTGTGGGTTTTGTACTCTCCAAAGATCATATCACTCAGGAACAGCCTCTGTTCAGCGCTTCCATAAAAAAACTTAATCTTCGGTCTGTCCTTTACTTTTCTCAGGCTTGCCAAATAAATCAGGAGGCTCTGTCAGGTCAAGATTGCGTTCCAACATTCCTTCTCTTTCTAATGGTCCTGATTCTCCTCCCCCTGTCCTTCTTTCTCCGGCAAGCCTGTCTTGGCGCGATGCCATTTTTTAACTGCGTCATAAAATTTTTCCTCTTTCTCACCATTCACCAATCCTCTCTCCTGTTATAATCCATCCCACACAGTTCTTGAATTCCTGCTTGTGATTAGTAAAAACGCAACGATCTTATTTCTATCTGGGGTTAAGGGTTATTAATATCACATCGTGCAAAGAAGAAAAAAGTTTTTTCCTCCACCCCCCCTTCATTCCAAACATACAGTCTCTTAATGGTGATTCATCAGAAGATTTACTTATCCGTCCGTCACTCCCGGTCACAGAGATCCATTAATCAGCAGTCTTATCTCTCAAACGTTACTTGATGTATGTGCTTCAGCTTCATTCCAATCGTATGTTTCCAATTATAATTCCGAGCTGAAGCTAACCAGCGCGCGCTGATTGGAATCGGCGTCAGGAAGATCTGACTTCATCGAGGGCTCGTGCCAAGTGTTCGGCACCCCCATCTCTCGGATCAGGGGGTGCATTGTGAACACCGCTGGCAAGGCAGCCCCCCCACCTCCTGGGGGGGGGGGGTTGGAAGACTGCATACTTCCCATAGCAGCCCCTTAATTACCTCGTATGGGTCAGAGAGATGTTATTGTCGGCCATCTTCCAACGCACCACCTGGTGGCCCCCCAACTTATAAGTATTTCAATGGGAAGTATGGGCCTGCTTTTGACTAATGAGGTGGTCATTAGATGGATATCTATATAGGAAACAATTTTTTATTTTTATTTTTGGAGAATCATTTTTCAAATCACAGAAGCGTTGGAAGGGGCTACCATAATCATAGTCCAACTCCCTGCCATGCAGGAATATTTCACCCAACGTGGGGCTCATGACCCTGAAACTGAGCTAACCAACAAGAAATACTGGGGAGAATCTGCAGCCACAAACAATACGTTCTTAGCACACACTTCCTACTTATTTTGTGTGTGTGTGTGTGTGTGTGTGTGTGTGTGTGTCATAAGGATTCATTAATTGCCCTTTGCATCTTGTTGCTTGAATAATTTGCATGGTTAATTTATCATCAACCTTGCACTGTATCAAAACATACCATGAGCACTACATGCACCACCACCATGGAGCATCACTTACAATAGTAGCAAAGTATTGCATGGATGTGGTTACAGATGAGCAAACATTACAGTCATAAGCTGATGTATGCATATGCACTCTCGCTGTGCCTTTTACATTCTCTTCTGGTGGAGAAAATAGACTGGCAGTCACCACAGACCTTTGCTGTAAATATAAAGAGCAGTTTGGCTCGCTCCTTGCTGCACAGAGTGCAAACACATCAAGGCTGGCTTCTTAAGCTATTTCCTCTGCAAGCACTTTCTTTAATACAGTTGTTTTCTACCTGTGCTCGGTCTGTGGGGCCTGCTATAGAGATGGCCTTGCTGCATGGCAGAACTTGGCAATGCTTAGACTTCTTTAACTCTGTTATTTTCAAGTACTATTTGTCCATTAAACTTAAATCTTTTGAGAATTAAGGATTTCCTCTTAATCTTAATGACAGAACTTTTGAATGATTACAATCATGACAAAATATCCATGAACCCCCCTGGCCTAAGTATGATAAAACATGACCCACTTTAAAAGGAATCTGGGCTAAAAAAAACAAAACAAAAACTCTGTTAAGATATGAGGGTCCAGGTTTCTTGAGGCTCTTGTTGGGGACAAAGGATTGCACTGGGCAGGGCAGGTAAGAGCCTTGCTGTGCAGTCCTCCTGGGACAACTCCAATTAACACGGGGAAAGAGCAAATAGCAAAACTTATTCATCTAATTAAAAAATAGATTTCTTGTGTCTGTGTGTGCACCCATGCCATTAGATTATTCACTGTTCCAGTAGACACTGTGAGAAGGTTAATAGTTCAATAATCCATTCTTTTTCACTGTTAAGATATCTCTAGAGATTTCCCAAGGGTACAGAGTAACTTGTCTCTTCTCAGTCAATATAAAGGACTTGCCCAATATGAATATAGCATATAGCATACAGACATCTCCATGAGATATCCCTGGATATATTATTTTGGAATAAGCTAAGAACCAACATAATAAATAAGCAGTATATTGAGCAGTACAACATAAGCATCCATTTGCTTCATCTGCCTCCCCAACACCAACTCTTTGATTATAATCTATCAGACATGAGAGAAAGTTGTATGTGCCATGAGATTTTCGTGTAATTCAGCTGCCTTGTAATCGTTTTAAAAGGCTATTGAAAGCCAGGCCAAGAATTACAGGGGTATCCTGTTTTGAACATGAGCAGGAGCCCATAGACAATGGATGCCTAAGTGTACCTTAGAACGGGCAGGTAGGACCTGGTAGTAGTTGCAGGACCTTGGACAGCTCCAAGCAGACAATTGGTTTCAACTGGATCTTCACAGATGAGAGACTCTCAAGCTCCACTTCCTTCTTGAAAAGAGGGAAGCCTTAAAGGAATAGCCTTCTAGCCTAGAGAATAGCACTCTGTCACTTCTCAATCTGCTCCTGCCTTGTTAAGTTGTCTGAGCTGGTCACTGGGGAGCAAGGAATAGGCATTAATGAGTACAAAGAGAGACCATTTCCTCAGAGGAATATGGCTCAGGGTACTTTCTCTAGGGGTTCCAGTTCAATAAGCTCTTAGCTGACAAGCTCCAGATCAGTGCTAGGACCTGAAATGAGCACCACTTATCTTCCTAAACCAGCTGATTCAGAGTCCTGGCTGCTGCTCAGGGTCAGAGTCATAACATAGGAAGACCTGAACCTAAGAGGGAGGGCACACACGTCACATTTACAAGGTCCCAAGTTCAATCTCCAATTAAAAGGTTAATGGGGGGAAATCTCTGCTTGAGACCTTGGTAAACTGCTGCCAGCATGAGTAGAAAATATTGGGCTAAATGGACAACTAGTCTGATATAGTTTTCAGCAGCTTCCTGTGTCCCTAGCCATTTGGCATGGGTGTGTGGGTGTGTGCCCTTCTGTACAATGATGAGTTTTAAATCTGAACCATCTCTTTAATAGATCCAAAACGAACACTTCACTTTTCCTGCCAACATTACAGTTTATTTATAAGTTTTACTCAAGAACTTTAAAATTACAACTCTTTGAATGGACTTCACACACAAACACAGCTGAAAAGATGGGGACAGTGTCCCCCACCTACAATCACTGAGGCACTTTCATAATGTCAATGTTTCACTAAAGCTCAGAAAATAAGGTACTAAAACAGAAGAGATTATGAGTAAATGCCATGCTAGTTTTGCCCTGTGGGAATGAAAGAACAGATGGACAAATTGGCATGCATGCATGCCAAAGCTATATCTAATGCAACATCCTACAAATCCTATAGATTAGATACATAGCAGAGGAATAAATATTAATACTATCGATAGCCTAAAGAAACCTACCACCTCTCCACAAATTCTAAAATTGTTTTATCCAGTAAATAACCCATAATTTACATTATTGTGGGATGTATTTGATGTGAAATATGATCTCAAATATCACTTCTGAGCTCCTCTGCAATTAGATGATATTGTGATCCTTCTGCAGAGAGTTTATGCAAGTTCAACTCCCACAATGTTGCTTTTCCTTGAGGGTAAACTACAAACAACAACAACAAAGCAGACCTACTACACTGAGGCAGCAAGGAGGCAACAAAGTACACCCACAGACCCTGGAATATTTAGCTGCTGAATCATTGTAACACTCACTATTAAGCAGGGTTCTTCCATGCTGAGGAGGCTTCAAAATAGAACTGTTGCAGTTGGATTACTTCAGCTTTGCCTCCCAGTGCTGATGCAATTGAAGCTGCCACTTCCAATCTTTGAAAACTGCTCATGTATGTAAAAGATGTGTGCACACAATCAGGGCTTGTCACACTTCTGCTTGTACCATGCCTAGAAAGCATGGGTCTGAGTGGGTTTCCCCTTGCCCCACTCCTTTTTCGGGGAAAAACTGCTCTTTAGTGCTGAATTGGAACAACCGTCAATCCAGAGGAAATCCAAATTGTTATTTGCTCCGATTGAGCGCTAAAGACTGGCTTTCCCTGGGGGAAAGCAGTAGGACAAGAAGAAGTGTGGATGTACAAGTTTAAAAACAATAAACAGGTGTGCATCAACAGAGATTTATGCTGCAGGATAGGGAGCAAATATATGCACAGCCAAAAGACAGAATACCATGTGTATACAGAGCAAAATGTTATACCATTAGCTCTATTTTTAAAAATATGAAAGATGAGGTGCCCTAATGCACAGTACCCTGGGGTTTTAAGCAGCAGAGCTGAAGCACAAACACTATACCCAGCTATTGTTTACAGACACTGTCTTTGCATGAAAATAAGATTGCCAGAGTCAATGTTGAAAGAATGCCAAACAGTTTCTGCAGGAGAAACTGTCAAGAATAGGTTGCTGTCGTCTTCAAATGCCAAGGTCAGCACTGATTTAGGTTATCAGCCATTACAAGGCTGAGTTAAGTTGAGACAGACAGAAGGAAAGCATTCAATGAAATGTCCTAATACCAGCACTTGCTCTCTTAAAAGTGAAGTTTCTAGTTCACACATTGCACTTTCCCCAGTCCTCATCCTCTACAAGTTCTCTTATTTATTGTTTTGCCCACTACTTTCTAAAACAGAGGTCTCTAGCCCGACACCCAATGTATACAGACTTCTACGATCACAATACAGACCCAATTAAATAACCACAACAACCATCTATGGTGCCAATTCTGTCTCCATCAGAAGTGTCTTGTTTGGTGCCTACCAGGAGGGAGAGAGGTGAGGGAGTGGTTGGCATGACGCAGTGGCTGAGTCAATCGGTACTCTTGCTGCTGTACTCACACTATGCCAACCTTCCCACCACATTGTTCCTTCCCATCCTGGTAAGCACAGTGGCATACCTGAAAGGATGCTTTCTTTGTGGCTCTGCCTCACTGGGCAAACCACACCTGTCCCCCATATCTACTGGGACAACACCTTCAGAAGCTTCACACACATTTTCTAGAGTGATAACAAGCCACAATCTGCCAGCAATGCCATAATACCATTTCTGTGGGTCAAATAGGCTGCCTTACATAATGACGATTCTGGGGTGGTTCCCAATATGTCAGGATAGACTAGTCTGTACACAAGTGGATAAATGGACACACAGACAACATAAAAAATGGTTAACAGAAAGAAACATTGGCCTGGTTCACATATAGCACTAAATCATAAGTGTGGCTTGCTTGGATGTTCAAACCCAGCCCTGAAGACCAATCATGGTTTGTTTTCCAATAACTAACTATGAAGTGAAGCCATGTTTGTTGTTGGCCTAAGACCCATGGCTTGTTTTGGCACCATGTCTGCACCCAGACATGCCATATTTAACTGTGATTTGTTTGGCCACTCCACTCCAGATGAAACTACACAAGTTCAGAGAAGCTGGATAACAAGCCAAGCTTTGGAGGAAATAAGACACGACTCTGCCCTTTAAAAGTGTGTGCAATTTATTAGCCTTCTTTTGTTCCAAATCTCTTCTGCTGTTTTCAATTTTTTTGCAGGGGGGAGAGCATGCATATAGAACGTTTATAAGCAAACACAAAAAAGATGCTATTTCTTTTTACTGTTATTTCGTCATGGTTCTATCATTAAGTATCTACGTCCATTAAGTATGTGGCTCGGCATGAAATGACCAGGAGCATTTCAAGCCCAGATTAAAGGTATCAAAACTCTTGCTCAGAAAACATGTCAGAATTTAGACACAGGGCATTGCTGCCACCACTGCCCTGTGAACTATAAACAATCAGTAAGAACAGGAACCAGATGACTGGAATACATCATTTAATCTGCCCTACTTTTTAAAAAAAGCATTATATATTTAGATGGAGTAAAACCCAAAAGCTTGGCTGCGTTAGTATTATAATTTTAGTCTTGTCTGAAATACAAATAAAGCCTTTAGAAAATGATGACCCTGAAAAATCTCTCTCATTGCCAAAAGGAAAAGAAAACTCTGTACATTTAGAACACCTTTAAGCAGACGTCTCTCCCCTCCTTCCCTTATACAGTACTGTCTTGGCATATTACTTTAAATTCACATCCAAAAGGCAAACTTGTTGATCTTGGTACTGCTTTTTCAGCTTGGAGGTACAACACAGTTAGTTGTTTATTTTGCATGTTGTTTGGGGAATAACCCTCAATTTTTGTTATGTTTATGAAGGAATGAAAATATCCCGCATGCCAAGATTTATTCTTATATTAACTTGACTGCCAAGAGTGGGTAGCATTTAACAGGTGTATTAAGAGTAGGTAAAGGTAAAGATACCCCTGCCCGTATGGGCCAGTCGTGTCCGACTCTAGGGTTGCGTGCTCATCTCGCTCTAGAGGCCGTGAGCCGGCACTGTCCGAAGACACTTCCGGGTCACGTGGCCAGCGTGATGAAGCTGCAGCTGGCGAGCCAGCACCAGCGCAGCACACGGAAACGCCGTTTACCTTCCCGCTAGAAAGCGGTACCTATTTATCTACTTGCACTTAAGAGTGCTTTTGAACTGCTAGGTGGGCAGGAGCTGGGACCGAACGACGGGAGCTCACCCCGCCGCGGGGATTCGAACCGCCAACCATACGATCGGCAAGTCCTAGGCACTGAGGTTTTACCCACAGCGCCACCCGCGTCCCTTGTATTAAGAGTAGATTTTAACAATATTTGGTCACAGTTCCTGGGGCTACTTGACATGCAGATTCCTGTATGTCTGTAGCACTTCTCACCTCTCTTTTTATCTCCTGCTATGTAAGTTGATTGCCAGTTTAGTTGAAAGCTTGTGGTGGCAGTAGACAGGATAACAACAAGTGGGGGGACCTCCTTATCTATTGGTATTTGAATGATCATAAAAAATTAAATAAAAATCTAGTTAAATTTGCTGGGCCTCCCTTAAGACAACCACTTTATATGCAATGTTTTCTCCAAAAGGCTGTATATGCGGAAGATTCTATACACTAGAGTGTGCTGCCATGCATACCTGCTATTGAAAGCATCAAGGAAATTATTTAAAGTGTCTCTTGTAATGTGATAATAAATTAGAATATAATTTTATTCATATGCACTCCCACAGCAGGGGGTGAGGAGAACCCAACTGGGCTGCCAATAATAAGTTCTGAGCTTCTCAGTCTTTTGCATATGATTCAAAGTGCTGGGATGACACAAACTTCTGGCAGCAGAGCAGCCATGATGCTTCAGTAACTCACAGGTGAGTCCTGGCCTACTGCAAAGGAACTGCAGGAATTTCAACAAGACTGAAGTGGGGAGGGGGAGGTTTGCTTTTCAAATCCATTCAGACTCAAGCTAAAATGCCAACTTTGACCCCATTTACAAGACTAGCTGTCCTTGAAAAATTGGCCAATTCATTAAGAGCATAACTACAGCCCTGCTGGATCTTCCAGCCCTGCATCCATTTTTTCCCTGTAGCTAACCAGATGCCTCTGTGAAACACAAGAGCAGAATAAGATAGCAATAGCCATCCCAACTCTCATTTCTCATCAACTGCTATTCAGCCGCATGCTGCTTCTGAACCTGGGGAGCTCATACAGTCACTGTGACTAGCAGCTGTTGAAATACATCATCCATTACAGTCTCCAACATGTTCATAGATGGATTAATTAACCTCTTCAGTCAATGGCTGAACCAAATCAAGGAAGAAGAAAACCACCCCAATGTATCCACAACTGGATTATCCCACACCGTGTAACACGGGGAAAGCTGTCATGGCACCCTCCAAATGTTGTTGGACTTCCAACTCCAACTGGTCATGCTCATGGGTTGATGGATGGGAGTTGTAGTCCAGCAACATCTGAAGGACACCACGTTGCCCAAGCCCAAATATCAGGTCACCACAGAAAACATGCTTGAAAACAAGGTCAACTCCCTATGATGTTCATCAGTCGTGAGCTAGAAGGCATGACTATGCTCTCCTGGGGCAAGGAATCTACCCATAGCTCTTGGAAATCACATTGCAAGACTCATTAGCTCACCTGTTCTTCTACTGCCACCTATCTGCTTGTGCCTTTACTGATCCTCATTTAAGAGAGAGTGCACACAAATACCAGCAACAGCTATAGATGATCCTCCACACCCTAGATCAAAAACACAGTGAACCCCTGGGCCTCCTGCTCATGCAATCTTCCTTGTTTTTTCCTTTTGCAGCCAGAAGACGAGAGAGAATCCACACTGGAGTTCTAATGCAAGCCAAAACAGAGCAGTGGAGGGTAATAGGTAGTTATTTTGCATCCACTTGCCCTCCTGTGTTGCCAGTTTCCCTATTGCTTACTGTACTTCCAGTTCCAGCTCACGTCTATCTTACCCCCAAGTCTTTCTGTATCATCAGTATTCACCTCCTTCTCCTTTCAGTCAACCTCTTTTTGTCCCACATACGGAGTGGGGATCCAAGGTCCCCAGTGTTTTGGGGCCTAGGGGCACATTTTGAAACTGAAGAAACTGTTGTGGGCACCACAAAATACACATTTCACAGAATAATTTAAAAAGTGTGATGTCCAGAACCCTCCAGCAAACAGGCAGAATACATATAGACACTGCAAATAAAACACAAAGAAGCAGAAACACTCTCCCCACAAAAATAGGACATTTCCTCCAAATAACCACCCTTTGCAAAACAACAACAACAACCCTCAGTTTAAACAATGGTAAAAATTTGGGAAGGGTGTCCACAGGCACCACACTTGAGATGCCACTTGAAGAGACCATAATGGACTTCAGGTTCAAACATTTTTGCAAGTTGCTTCAAGCCCAGCATAAAGAGGGGTGTCTCTCAACAGACTGCTTCCATTTCTCCTTTTGGAGTTTCTTTTTAGCCAGACCTTTCCCTACGATTAAGTGCCATTTGGCATACCTTTCCCTGTCCCCACATGCCCAATAAGCGGGTGTTTTTAGTCATCTGCAAAGAAGTTTCTTCCGCTAAATTACCTTATATAGTGCAACACTGCCCACAGAACAAGAAGAGCGGAAGTGACTGTGTAGACTTCACCCACATGCACATTTCGCCTACAATGATAAGCCATTCTTTTGCCTCCCTTGTCATTTGGTTCCCAGGTTGTTGTGGTTAAGGTTAATAAGCAAATTAGTCCCAATTATGCTGTTCGTAAAGGGCACTTAGAATTTCAAGCTATGCTAGCAAAAAAAACCCAACCAAAACACCCCTAATTACTACATTATTTATTTGTCTTTTGGAGTGGGCTGAGTCTTTTCAGTTTTACATTGTGCACACAGGGTCTTAAAATATTGCAGCATTGTTTGTGTGATGTGATGCAGAGAAAAATGTCTGTCTCTTTCATAAGTACTTATGCTGCTTGAATACTAATTATTAGTGTTACGAGAATGTTTTATATTGGCATCTAACACATTGCTTCATACGCTGCATGCCAATAAGTAGACAAAATAGTGTGATCCTACTTCTTTATTCTGAGTTAATGCCTCGTTTCATTAACTGGTGGATTTAGCTCCACTACAAACCCCAATCATCAAACTGTCAACATCACCCAGGCCAAACCCAATGGTGCCAATTGCTGTTCTCACAGTTTGTCATCCACTGGTTCCTAGCAATTTATGGGCAGTAGCCCCTGGCCAGGGACGCGGGTGGCGCTGTGGGTAAAACCTCAGTGCCTAGGACTTGCTGATCGTAAGGTCGGCGGTTCGAATCCCCGCGGCAGGGTGAGCTCCCGTCGTTCGGTCCCAGCTCCTGCCCACCTAGCAGTTCGAAAGCACCCCTAAGTGCAAGTAGATAAATAGATACCGCTATCTAGCGGGAAGGTAAACAGTGTTTCCGTGTGCGGCACTGGTGCTGGCTCGCCAGTTGCAGCTTCGTCACGCTGGCCAGTGTCTTCGGACAGCGACGGCTCCCGGCCTCTTGAGCGAGATGAGCGCGCAACCCTAGAGTCGGTCACGACTGGCCCGTACAGGCACGGGTACCTTTTACCTTTACCTAGCCCCTGGCCAGCACACTGGACAGGAGCCATGCCACCTCCGAGTGCAGTTGTGTACTGACATGCAAAATAGTACAACGATGAGTGTGTCAGCACCAGCTGGGCAATAAGACTTGAAATCAACACATGCACAAAGCTTTTTGTCTGCACTGGCCAACTGTGTATCAATGATTGCCATTCCAGACAATAATTTTAGTGGGGGTGGGGGGAGAGAAAATGCATACCCCATTGTTGCTAAGGAAGCACCATTCCCGGCCATTGTTAGAGCCACCTTTCCTCAAAAAGCTTCCATTTTGTCTGGAAGGGTAAGCTAGCACAGGACTAGTCACAATGGGTAGGGGAGCACAAGTACACATTGAATAGCATGATGAATATAAAAGCGCAGCCCATGTAACCCTGGTCTCTCCAGTGCAAAAAGGAAACCTCCTGGTTCCCAGGAGAAACCTGGGGGAGTGTCTCCCTCTACTCCATTCATTTTCAGAAAGCTATTCCAACTCTGATCTCCCCTCTCTCCCTGTTTCCTTATTCCCAACTTTCCAAGTAGTTATCCATGACAAATTAAGCATGCTGATGCTTTCATTTTGTTCTCCTCTTTTACCCTGCTTTAGATTCCTGTGCGCCTATCACCTTCTTATGTCCTATTTGACATCATATTTCCCTTTCTTAGCTTTCTTATGCTGCTATTAGGGTGACTGTGACACAGTGGTAGACCATCAGCTCCGCACATCTCCACGTTGGGCTGGGAGAGGCCCTTGTCTGAAATCCCAAAGAGCCACTTCCAGTCAGTGCAGACAATACTTAGCTAGACAGGCCAGTATAAGACAATTTCCTACGTTCTTATGTTCCCAGTATATTAACTCCTCTGTAGATTTAACCAAATTCTTCCCAGTTCTTTCTAGATTCTTATTTTTTGAACAAACCACATATAGGAGTACTCTAAACTCTGCCTTGTTGTCTCATTGTTCATGGCCCTTTGCAGAAGCACCAGTCCTCTGTCACAACACACTATGGCTCTGTATTGAAAATCCTTACACATATTGTTTTGATCTACTGTATTAGCCAGTGTGGTGCAGTGGTTATTGTAGGGCCTGGAAGACCAGGGTTCAATTCCTCACTTAGTTAGGCCTGAAGCTCACTGGGTGACCTTGGGCCAGTCACTGCCTCTCAGCCTAACCTACACTTGTTGTGGGGATTAAATGAGGAGAAAACATTGTATGCCACCTTTAGTTCCCTGAAGAAAAAGATGGGATATAAATGCAGTTTAGATGAGGACCTAAATTGTGCTCTCTCTTCTGAAGCCAGTGCACTTGCTGCAGGAGATGCAAGTGCTTTTCCCTCAAACTGGCACTTTTGTTGCAGGAAAATCGCATGATGCCAGCACCCAAACCACAATAGTCTGGTGGCAGAAACCCACTCACTGCTTTCTTTGCAATTGTTAAATTTTAAGTGGACTGCAATTTTTCCACAAGTTAATTGGGTACCTTGGACAGTGCCCACGAGAAGTAGCACAATCTCTCTTCCCCACCCCACACCACCTTTCCATCTCACATTATTTGGCATACCTTTTTAAGGGCTTTAAAATATAAATTAGCTTGAGTGCACAAACATTTGCCACGAGACTCATTAAACTGAAATAGCAAGCGTCAGCAGAATTATCTCCTTTGCAGCAACTCCAGAGTTATTTCAGGCCTTCTGGTTTCTTTATTAATAATAATAATAATTATTATTATTATTATTATTATTATTATGGAAACTCCACACCCCCTTCTGCAATGCAGGACATGTCTCCCACGAGCACAAGAACATCTTGTCAATTTCATTTCTCAGCTTTCCATACACAGAACAGGTCAACTTGGCAAAGCTCCATAAATACAGGACTGCATTGCTGTGCATTGCCGCTGTGTTGTTAACTTTGCCATTGGTTACTTTTGTGATTTATTATTATTATTATTAGTAGTAGTATTATGCAAAATTCACTTGCTTTAATTGTGAGAATTTTTGCAATCCACCTTGGGACCATTTGGTGTACAATTAATAAAACATTTTTAAGAATTAGAGGCTTACTGAAGATTGCAAAAAAAAAAGAAAAAAGAGCAGCCTACTCAGAGTAGACATCGAAATTAATGGATATGACTAGCCTATGTACATTACTTTCAGTGGGTCGACTCCTACCTTAGAAACAACCCTGTTTGAGGCTGGGGTGCACTTTGAAGAGCCATCTCACACAACTAGTCCTGTACAAGTGCAACCCATTTCATATAAACCATTTCCCATAAAGAAAATTAATGGTTCAATAAAGTAGTATTCATACAGAACTCCAGAGATCAGAACTTGATTCAATTAGTTGTTGGAGCTGGAGTTTGCAGAGGGTGGGAGAAACCTCACATTAATTTGTCTGAATTTTCTCTCTGGTGTGAAGCTTAATTCGGTTTTCCTAATTATACATTTAAGTCACAGGAGCAAACCTGCATGTCTTTGCTGTGCTCAGGTGGGAAAGGTTTATATACATGCCTATTTCTGGGTGGAAATATCCATGTAATATGCCAAGTCATTCCATATAAAATAAGACAATATGACATGGGTTTCAGGAGGCTGCTTCCTAACTCCTTGTCAAAAACACCAGTCATGCTGTTAATGGACTTTGATGCACAATATATGTGTTGCAAGTCAGATAAGTCTTTAAAAGTACAAGGCTGCTCTTTGTCCCAGAATACCTCATGAAAGCGAAACTGTTCTGTCCTCCACTACAACAACCCAGTGGAAACATATGGAATCTATTCGCAAGGTGCAGCAGAGCTTATTGCACAAGTTAGCAATATGAACCAACCAGCTTCAGAAACATTACAAATTATCTGCATACCTACAAATTAAATGCATCCATTCATGCACTCTTTGAAGGGTAAATTCATATTAAAAATGAATATGAACCTTTTTGTAATTAATGTTGATGTGAATTCAAATATGCAACCCTCTCCCATAAAGCCTATTAGGATAACTGCAGCATGTATAGTGTGTATCAATGAAAAATCCATGGGACCATGAACAGCATGAATTGAGCCTTTTGACAAGGTATTAGAAAACAGTTTCCTAAGATCCATTTTATTATTAACTAAAGTTAAAGATATTTCTATATCACCTCTCACTGCAGCAACAAGACAGTGTACAGAAAAATAAAGCCAGATAATAAAATAGTAATAAATAATAATAATAATAATAATAGGTCAATGGAAAACAAACAGAAGCCAACTGGTATTGCTTGCTAGCAAAGGTCTCAGAATATAAATGGGTTTTCAGCAGGTACCGAAAAGTCTAGAAACGGGGAGGTCCAAAAAAGGGGCCCCAAGCAAACAGGGATACAAGTCAAGGACAGTGGTGGAGCTTCATGCTCCAGCACCGGGGGGGGGGGTGGAGAGCAGGCGGGGGCGGGGCTGGAGCACGTCCTGGGGGTGTGGCACGCCACCTGCAGGGGTATGGTGCCCACTGCGGGCGGGGGAGCAGCAGCGATGGCACCCCACCGGGATCACACTGCCGGGGGCAGTGCACTCCCCCCCACACTCCTCTTCCTCCACCAGTGGTCAAGGATCTGGTATAAAGTTGCTGTTCCAGCAATCTGTGCCTTAAATGAAAGACTTCTAAAGATGAGCCTTCAGTGCCACACCCAGAATGCAGCTGCAAGACATCCATGTTGCTTGCAAATTTGGTTTGCTTCTAAGGAATAGCTAACTCATGAGTCCCAAGAGGTCCTTCTTCCTCTGGCAAGCTTTCTGACTGACGGAGCCTGCAGCTTTAGGTGCTTGTGCACCTTAGGACTTAGTAGCCACTCTGTTTCCACCTCATATTCTGTGTCTTGAGGTGGCTAGGTTACTGTGACCCTGAAGACCCTGAATCCTTCTGCTCTGCCTCACGGTCCTTTGATGAGGGATGCTTTGGGAAGCTCTAGGTCAGGCATAGGCAAACTCGGCCCTCCAGATGTTTTGGGACTACAACTCCCATCATCCCTGACCACTGGTCCTGTTAGCTAGGGATGATGGGAGTTGTAGTCCCAAAACATCTGGAGGGCCGAGTTTGCCTATGCCTGCTCTAGGTCATCCTCTGAAAAGGATTCCAACAGGGAGAAAATGCTCTTAAAGTGCTTAACTTGGACTACTTTATGCCTTAAGAAGCTGTTACTATAAGTTTCTCAATGTTCTTAATTGAGCAAAGGTGGCAAAGTCCAACAAGGAACTTAAACATGAAAATCCAGAGTTTTATAAGCTCTATACTTTTCTTTTAGAAGTCCAAGTTTATATGTAACTTATTAACATATCCACCACCATCAAACCTCCCCAATAAAATGTGCTGTTTTATTATGAGTGTAGGAGAAGATGTGAATCATTTATAGACAAATTAGGCAACAGGCTCTCTAAACACATTGAAAAGTAAGATAGCAGATAATTTCAGATTGGCAGGATTATTAGAAGAAATGGTCTGTGTAGTTTCTTCAGCGTTAAACTTTCCCACATCAGTTGGCAAGTTCCATCGCTCCAGTGTTTCATAGACAGAACAAAATACATTAACAGTTGCACCGAACAAAATATGTTACTCACCACAAACACAAATTAAAATTCCCTTAATCGTTTTCCTATCAGAAATAGGTAACAAGTTATATCACTTTCTTAATTCCCCCCTCCCCCATGTATTTAAGGGTTTTGTATTACACCCTTCACCAGTAGACCCTGGTTTACATCAAGAAAAATATACAATAGCCTACAATGAAATATAATATAAACAATTATATTAAGTCTCAACACAGGGAAGAAAGACAGCAGCATTACATTGAATCTATAATTTTTTCACCCCACCCCTCCTCAAAAAAAAATAATAATTCCCAAAGAGGTATATCTTGACTCGTTTTCTACAACAGTGTAATGAAGAGGCCAGGAACATGTCAGCAGAGAGTGAATTACAAAACACAGAGTCGCCTTCAAAAAGGCCCTTCCCTGAGTCCTTACTACGCTATGTACTTCTCCAAGATCTCAAGGTGCAGGCAGGTCTATGTGGTTGAAGGCATTCTCTCAGATACTTAGGAACCTGGTTATTCAGAGCTTTAAACACAAGGGTAAGCACTTTGAATCTGGTCTGGTATGTAGGCTTACATACAGCACAATAAACAAAGTATAACAGCGGTGAACATAACACATCCATAAAATAGGATAAAAATGCTTAGTCAACATCTAGACAGGGATACACAATAGCTGATTGCTGAGCAATGCATCAGAAAAGATCTGTGTAAACAGAAGAGTCTTAAGCAGGTGTTTGAAACAAACTACCGTACTGATGGTGCATGCTTAATATTAAAGGACAAAGAGTTCCACAAGCAAGGCACAGACACACCAACTGCCTCATTTATTGCTGAAGCAAGGCAAACATCATGTGTTACCTTTAATAGTGTATCACTGGCTGAACATAAAGATCTGGAAAGAATGTACTGTATAACTTTCCTAGGTGCTTTTCATTTAGATTTACTTATGGAAATAATTTTATTCTGCATCCTTTTCAGGTTTGTGTTTTTGGGAGCAAAAATAATATGGAAGCGGAATTATTATTTACAGAGTTACTGACAAGAAAAAGAAAACGTTTGCATGTTATATTGATTTGGGGTAAAACAGCAGAGCCTTGCTGTCAACAGAGCCTTCAGAGCAGGAAGATATAAAATAAAAGGAGTTTAGAAGTTAAATTCTGTCCTCAGGCAACCATTAATTGAATCCATTACAGAACGAAACATTAAAACAGCCAGGCACTTCATTATTACATGGAACAGTTTGCCATTGCTTACTTTATTCTCAGCATTTTAGAGTAGAGAGAGAGGTCAGCTTTCAACACAATTCTTTCATTTTAAAAAATGAATCTGTTTCTGTTCTCTGCAGGAATAATATCTTGTGCAGATTGTATTTGTTTTATTGATATTTTATTTTGCTCTTTGGCAGAATATATATATATATATATATATATATATATATATATATATATATATTAGTGTCTTGCTGTTAAATGTCTGCTACAGTTGTTTTTAAGGTTTGCATTGTATTGACTTCGTATTGAGTTAATTATGTACTTTTCTCCATCTATTCTATGGTGGCCTGTGGCTGACAGCAATAAAACTGAATTGAACTAGGCTTATTTCTATAAAAGCTCAGTTATTCACATTTAGCTTTATTATGTACACTTTAATACCATTAGACCTACACTTTAATACCATTAGACCTAGAGAACACTTATATTAGTACAGATGTTGGGGGGATGCAATGACCACAAGATTCAGTTCAGATCCCAATTTGGCACTTGAGAAAACAACCAACCTCAAGCTTTGCAGGCTGCCTGATTCTGCTCAGGGACTACCCAAATTTACTCCATTTATCTCTGTTTGTTACATATTCACCATTGGAATTTTTTAAAAAAAGATTTTTAACTTTTATTCCTTCTGAAATAACTTGATGAAATTGCACACTAGCCCCTCCAGAGTGGATAAAGCCTGCCGATTTACAAACATATAGGTCCAGGGACTTTTATTGTGGGTAACGTCAACCTTGCATGTTCTTTTTTATAAGGAAGTATTTATAACTATTTCATTTGGTGGCAGAATTAGATTAAAATTAGCAGGGAAATTCACTCATTCTCAGGGCATGAATCCTGACAAAGGTCAGAAGGATAGCTGCCATGGTTCATCTGCAAAGGCAGTCATTCCAACCTAGGGGTAAGTTTTTTTAAAAAATGAACTCCATTTCCCTTTTCTGGTTTGAATATTGCAAGCACAGGAGAGATGCCCTGGGTAAGAAAGACTGCAGCCTCAACAAAACCAAAAGAAACAATGCAATCTGGCAGCAGTAATGATGCTTTCTTGTAATTAAGCAATGCCCACAGTGGGATGAAAATATGTAAAAACATCAGTGGTTACAAAGCTGTTTCAAATCTTGGCCATCTGGCACAGCACTTAACATCATGCCATAGTGCCTAGGTCAGGTAGTAGCCCCACCTACTGAAATCTGAGAAATGGGGAAAATATGGGAATTGCATGCACAAGCCTGCACTGCCAGGTTTTGTGGAAAGCCTTATCTGCAGAAAGAGCTGCCTCGTTTGTCTGCCATTGGTTGGCCCACAGAAAACTGAGTGACACTATCACACATTTCACAGCACTTCAAAACATTAGTATATCCCTCTAGTTTTTATTTTCTATATGAGACACCCTCATTTATTTATTTTTTAAACATCAGCTTGTTTGTGTCCTTGGATCTCCTGCCAAAGTACCCATACAGTTTCCTGCAAACTCTCAGGCAGAGAGAGTTAAACAGAGTTAGCAGAGTTAAATGTGTATAAACCCATTGGTTTCAATGAGCTTAAATCCTATGTTGAATTGTGCCTGGATCATTCCCATGGATCTCCTCTATTAAGCAGCTCCAACCTAGTAAACATACACAGAAGCATAGCACAAAACATCTGACCACAGATACAAACTTAAGCTGAGTGCATACCAATGATGACCGTCTTCACGGCCACCAAAAACCTTCAGACTCCAGTTAAAACCAAGAGGCATTACATACTATTTGATTCCCAGCTTGGCACCTAACCTTGAAACATTTTTAACCACCTCTACATGAGAAATCCAAGCAGTTATTTCACATACAGACTTCCCTTCAGTAAATGTGAGGGATTTGATGGCCACATCTGGACACAGCACTTTTACATAAACCAAGGGTGTAGGCTCCCCAGATGTTGTTGGACACCAACTCCCATCAGCCCCAGCCAGCATAGCCAACAGTCAGGGACAGCTGAAGCTGCAGTCCAGCATTAACTGGAGAGCCTATTTGAACTGGTGGTAATAAGTTTGTATAATAACCAAAACCTTAAATCCTAACTAAAGAGTTTTCAAAGTTGATGGAATAAACAAAGATCTCAAAGTTTCCAGTATTATCCCCAAATGGAACAGTACTCATCCGAAAGCACTGCAAGGACTTTCTTCTGGTGCTGGCCCCAAAAGTTGAAAAGACGACAAATTTCTCTTTAGAGGAGCGGGGGTGGGGAGGGGATTTGCAAAAATGACACATGCAAATTTGCTCTAACAGCAGCATTTAGCTCAGTTAGTACTCTGGACAGCTAATAGTTTCATAGAAGGGTCACTGTGAAAAGCCACTTGGGGTTGGTGGACTAAGATCTTTGCCTCATCTCACTGGCCCTTTCTGGCTACATAAGAAGCCTCACTGCTATACCAATCCCTCACTGCCAGTCTTGACTCGGGGTTAGCCACTGGGCGTGGGGTTTCTGCCTGTATCGGATCAGCCTCCAAATGCTGATCCCAAATAGCTATTGTTTTACCTCAGCCTGTTACTCTGAAGAGGGGGGTGCAAGACTCCCCAATATTTAAGGACTGATTTGTTCAGATCATTGTTTATATATGCCTGGTGTATCCCAGGGGGATTTCTAACCATGTGAGTGGATGCCTCATATCACTGTAGGAGGATTTTTTTTTTATCAGGGCGGAGAGGAAGTCTTTTCCCCACTGAGCATCTGTGTGCGGCCTTTCCTCGTGTACATTTGGGAGTGCAAGGGTGCTTGGACTTCCTCTGATTAATGTCTCTTTTTCTTGGAAGGCGGAACACAGTGGTTCTCCCTTTAGCATGAAGTAGAGCATGAACAGATTGATGACTATGTGCTTTCCTGAAGAAGAACCTTCTGTGTTTGAGCGGGGTGGGAGAAGGTCCTTCATGTATCTAGGGTGACAGAAGCATCTTTAGAGGAAGAATCGGATTCTTCTGCTCTTTACAAGCAATCCTCAATTTCAGTAGGAAGCAGTCATTTAAGAGGTCATTCCCCTGAGCATTTGCAATGAGGGGAGGGGGGTGGCCACTTTGCCTTCAAGCTGGGATGGCTGGGTTTTCCCCTTTTTTTGAATTGGCTGGTTTGAGAAGCAGCCGGGCAAGACCGTGGCATGATAATTTCCCCCCTTTTAGCATTTGTGCATAGGAGATCAATAGCCGGAGGCTGTCTCCTCCTACGTGAAGGGGGAACCTGCCCGTCAGCAGCTTGCCAGCCTCGCTCGCTCCCTCCCTCCCGGTTCTGCCTGTCACATGAGTTCGCCGCTCACTCACCGCCTGTGATCTGCGCGGGGCCAAAGCACAGAGCCAGTTGGAACCACAGGACCACCAGGGAGAGTCTGGACTGCGAGCGCTGAAGCAGCGGGGGCGGTGGAGGTGGTGGGGGCGGCGGCGGTGGCTGCTGCTCCTGCCGCCGCCTCTTCTCTAGGAACGGATCCCTGCTGCTCGGGTTCATTCCATGATACATCTTTCATCCGCAAAGGGCATCGGGATTGCAACGGTCTGCAACGACAGGAACAGGCAGCTTTGCTTCAGCAGCACACGGGCAGTTCCCTCCGCACACCTTCCCGCCCCCTCCCGGAGGAGGCGCCCCTCGCTCAACGGCACTTTCTGGCCCTCCGCCTGCCAAAAAGGAAAACCTATCCCACGCCGGGTCGCCCCCCGGCGGCAGGATGGCAGTGGTGCTTTTGCATGCAAGAACCGGCCTGCCCTCCCCAGGCTTCGCGCCGGGGGGCGGCCACCCCCTCCTACCAACGTCACCTTAGCCGAACCCAGAAAAAAGCCCCGCTCCGGCGGCGGGAACTCCCGTCCCCTCTTCCTCCACCCCTCACCCCGGTCCCTCGCCGACGACGAATACGCCGTTCCTCGGCGCCGCGGCTCCATTCCCTTCTAAAGTCCCGCCGCTGGGGGTCTTCCTCTGACCGACCCGCCCGCCCCTTCTCAGGAGCTCCCGGTCACTTTGGGAGGCGCGCGTCGGAGTCCCCCGCGCGGCTTTTTGGCAAGGTGCCGAAAGGGAGAGAGAGAGCTGCGAAGTTCTTTCACCTCCTCGGGTCTCTCACCTTCCCCCAGCGCCGCAACCCTCCCTCGGTGGCCACCAGCCCCTCTCGGCTTTCCCGCCTCCTCCCTCCCCGTCCGCGGCGCAGTGCGCCCTTTCCTTACCTGAGAGCTGCCCGCCTGCATGAGGGAGCCGCTTTGCTGCCTTCCCCCCTAGCCAAGCTCTACCGCTGCAGGGCACGCGACCCTTCGCCGCCGCTGCTGCTGCCGCCTCCGAGTCCGCACTCCCCTCAGTTGCTAGCGGAGGAGGAGGAGGAGGACGGAGAGAGAGACACACGGCGCGCGCCGCTGCTCGCGCTCATCCTACCTGTCTGCAGGGGAGGAGGAGGAGGAGGAGGGGAGCGAGGGAGAAGGAGGCAAGAGCAGAGAAACACCCGCGAGGCGCCGGCTGCCGCAGCTGCTACCAATGAGGAGGCTGAGCGTGCACCTGCTTTAGTGCACGAGCCGCCTGCCACGCTGCTGCTGCTGCTGCTCCCGGGAGGGGGGCCCTCGGGCTGGCGCGCGGAGCAGGCGGCCCTCGCTGCGTTTTCCCGGTGACGAACGACGGGCGCCAGGAGCGCGAGCGGAGGAGGGCGAGAAGGAGGCAGCGGCGGCGGCAACTGTGGAAGCCATCCTCGGTACTACGGTGGCTCCCGAGGCTGTCACCAAGCTTGCTCTGGGACTGCTGCAAGAGCGGCGAGCATTTCGGAGAAGGAGGCGCCTGGGCTGCCGGGCTCCCCTCCCGCCCTTCAGGAAGGGGAAACGCGCCTTTGGAGCCGAAGCGCGAGGGTGGTGCTTGGGGGGCGAGGGGCACGTTGGTCGCGATCCCTTATGGATCGCCACCGACAGTAAAGGGGCATGCAGCGAACTCCTGTGTATGTGGCAGCTCTCTTTTTTGAAGTGGCGGCCATTTTCCAAAACTGACACCCGGAGAGGTGGAGAAGGAAGCCGAAGGAGGCGGTTGGCATTTAATAACTTGCTTTAACATTGTAAACTGGATGCGATTTCGCCTCCATTTTCAATTTGCAGGAGGGGGCCGCTGGGGGCGCTGTTTGCAACCTTTGCTTCGGCGTACTGTATCTAGGCTCGCGCGCCCGCGGTTGGAAGTTCAGAGATTTTGGCCTGTGGTCGGCTGCTACGTCTAAGAAAAACCCCACCACTCATAAATATCGTTGAACATAATAAAAACGCTGCTTTGGCTCCGTGGAAACAAAGTGCAATTTCATAAACGAAACCGGCTCCATTTGCAAACCCACAAACCCCATCCCCTGACCCCGGAAAGTGTTCGCCAAGCCACGGGCCTTGTATAGTTAATTAACACAAGGACTGATTTAGGGACTGAATCTCCCAGATGTGGCAGGTGGCAGATTAATTTGTCACTTGGAGGGTTTGTGGAAATTTGGCTCGACCATAGTGTTTTGGCTCCTGAGAACACATTGACAATCAGGCCGGTACTCCTTGTGAGCAGCTTTAGTAATAAGATTTATTGCATGTTAATCATACCCTATTCATTCTGAAGTGCTTGGTTTCCAAGCTATGTTTATTAAGTTTGTTAATTGCTTTACAATTTTAGGTTTGTAATTAAAATGTGTGGTTTCAACGAGTAGGGAAATGTCATTCACAAATCAACATGGCATCCACAGCAAAGGAAATCAAGCACGTTGCTCATGTAACTGTAAGAGATTAGCCATGCAGTGATAATAGCATTGCAGTCATGTGGCCTGCATGGGCAATTTGTTAAAAGAAGCAAAACAAAACAAAAACTTCACAGCTCGTTAAAATTAAAATTCAATTATCTGACTGAATGTTCCAGGCAGGAATCTCTTTAGACCCTACCTGGAAATGGCAGGGACTGAACCTGTGACCTGCTGTAAGTAAACTATGTTTTTCACCACTGAACTATGAGCTATTAACAGCCTTGTACCTGGCATTGCTCAGGGATTCTAAGAAACAAAACAAGCAGTGCTGTTTTGAAAGGTTCAACCTGCCATCTTGATTCAAAATGCTGTCCAGTTGTATCCAAACATAAAGGAAAACCTGCTCCTTATTCTTGTGAACCATCATACAATATCTTAAGAGGTGTCCAAGTGCATAACTAACAGGCAAATCACTTTCCAAAATATATAGTAGATGACCCATCTCCTGTTTTTAAGTCTCTCTCTCCAAAATGTACAGAGCTTGTTTCAAATGATTAAGTGTCAACAACATTATTAAATATACCCTGATTGTAGCCATTGCTAGTCTCAGGATCAGATCTCGGGGATGAGATGTGCTCCTGGTGTTTGAAAATGTCATAAGAGAAGTAATCTGTAAAGTCATATTTACTATGAGAGCTTGTTTGTCTTCCTAACTCTATTTGTGAACACAGCCAACACAATATAGTTTTTCCTACACATGCCCAACCAAGAATGTGTGCAGTTTATGTGCCACATGTTCTCACAGCTGTGGTGGGAAACACTAACCACAACTTCCAAAGACTTATTCCATGGAATGGGCATTTCATTTGTGCAGCATCCAGCTAAACTGTCCAGCTTAGATCAATATGCTCCCATAATAGATCAGTCACTGCCAAGCCACAGCAAGTCTGCCAAGTTGCAGAAGGATAATACAATTGCCACTAGCAGCACCAGCTGTATCTCTCAAGTTGAAGGTGTCGATATTTCCTGAAATGTCAGCTGATACTCAATTACATTCTGGTGCGAACTCTTCAGACGTTGTGAAAAAGGGAACGTGCAGCGAAGGGTGCAGCTGCAGCCCTCCAGATGCTGCAACTTCTATCGTTGGCCATGCTGTCTGGGGCTGACAAGAGTCCAACAGCAAGTGAAGGGTTAACCGTCCCCCCCACAGCACTGTTAGACACACCACAGTAGGAGTGGGGAACATTTTTTAGCCTGAGGGCTGCATCCCCTTCAAGACAACCTTCTGGGGCCTACATTCTAGTAGTGGGCAAGGCCAGAAACAAAAACGAGCAGAGCATTGGATATAAATTTTACTTTTGTACAGTAGGTTTGTTTATGTGCACACACACCTTTCTCTATCATCATCAAGACAAGCACAAGTCATTATTAGAGTTTAAGAACACATTCTAGCCAGGCAAATTAACGTTCAAGGAGGGTGTGAAGCAAGGCTGGTGAGAGGTGTGACCCAGGGACAGAGGGTGTGACTGTGGAGGTACTGTGGCCTGGGGATTTCCACAACGTCCAGACAGAGTGGCCTGGAGGGACATCTTTGTCCCGTAGGCTTAAGGTCCTGTCCCCCCGCACACGCACATACAGTGGTACCTCGGGTTAAGAACTTTATTCGTTCTGGAGGTCCGTTCTTAACCTGAAACTGTTCTTAACCTGAGGTACCACTTTAGCTAATGGGCCCTCCCGCTGCCACCGTGCCACCGCCGGATGATTTCTGTTCTCATCCTGAAGCAAAGTTCTTAACCTGAGGTACTATTTCTGGGTTAGCGGAGTCTGTACCCTGAAGCGTTTGTAACCCAAGATACCACTGTACTGCACTATAGGATTACAAAAATAAACAACTGCACTACATGTAGCTTGGACCTAAGAGATCACACAAGCATGTGTGAGTACCCCATTCCCCAATAATTGAGTTCATAATTTCACAGAGAAACACAGTGACCCTGAGTAAACACCTGGAACCTTGCACTGCTCAGAGATTGGGGTGGCATGCAACCATATTCATTGAGAAAGGGGGTTTGGCTCAAACACATTCGTGCAAGGTGAACAAAATTCCAGCCTTAGCCTCTTTTTGCACCCCTCTGGCTCTTTTGCTCTGGAACTACAACCTCAAAATGAGACTCTGATAGGAGAGTGCTATCAAAGATAGATGATCTGGGATTCTGCATGCCTGATGCAAGCTGCAGGTTGCCTTTGAAGAAGGTTTTTCTGTATTTGTTCCATCTGTATCCCCTTCTAACTCCAAGCTGCTCAAAAATGTATTTCAGGTTCACCTGAGGGTAGCATGACAGTCTTTATTTTACTTTATTTTAAACTGCTTTACGGAGAGGCTAGCTGAAAGCAGCAAGGGGGGAGTGAATGCGTATCCATTTCCCTGCCACATTTCTTTTGCTTCCAACTGACCCCAACCTAAATTGGGCTTCACGTATACATATTCTTAGCAGTATGATGTGGGGCTTTTTAATGGTAACTTGTGTTACGGCAACCACAAAGAAGTGCTGAAAGGCACAGGAGTATAACAACAATATATTAATGAGAAGAAGCTTACAATAAAGTAGACAAAATATCATTACAGTTGCAGAGTGTACTTTTCAGTAAGGCTTACAAAGAACCGTATAACACAAAATAATGATTACTGTACAGTGGTACCTCGGGTTACAGACGTTTCAGGTTACAGACTCCCCTAACCCAGAAATAGTACCTCGGGTTAAGAACTTTGCTTCAGGATGAGAAC